GGCCGGTCCAGGGCGGGCGGATTGGGTTCGGTAATGATTTGCGGATACTGTGTCACGGCGGCCAAGGGTGGTCTGTCTCTCTCGCACCCCCGCGGGGCCTGCGCGGCCTGCGGGGCGCCCCGCGAGTGCGACAGAGAGGGAGTCTGAGAGTGCGCCCCGATTTGCGCCGCCCTGTTGACGTTTTCCGCGATTCGGCGACCTTTTTTTTCCACCTTTTTCCCCGCGGATGGCGTTTTACTGTGGCGATAATTGGCCACCTGCCCTCCTGCTGGTCCCCATTTCCCGGCGTTGCCTAGCAACCCTCGTCTCTTCCCCCCCCCCCTTCTCCTCCTCCAGAGAGCCGAGGGCCCGGCAAGAATTAGTTAAAACCAGATCGGAAGTGTGCCAGTGGAGCGTCCTTGTCTTTTATTTCCTTTTATGGAAAGATGTGCGGCCGATCGGCCAATCGCGGGGGGAATTGCCGCCGGAATTGAGCCCCGGGCTTACTTCCGCCGCCGCCATTTGGCGCCATTTTTTTTATTCGCTTTTTTCTTTTCTCTCTTTTTTTTTCTTTGAAATTCGCTTTACGATCGTGAGCGCGCTCGGAGGGAGTGAGGCTGACCCGCGCGGAATGCTCCGGCCGCGGCGCGAGGGCTTGGCGAAGGGCTCGGCCTGCACTGGGAGGTCTGTCTGTCTCTCTCGCACTCGCGGGGCGGTCCGAACGGCCCGTTCGAGTGCGAGAGAGACAGACCGTTAGTGTCCCCCGCAATCGCCGGCCGTTTTTGCCCGGCGCGCTATGTGTCGCCGTTGCGTCAACCCAGTAACCGCCGCCGCGGCGCTGGCCTCGGCTCACAGTGGGCCAGAAGACCGGTGGAGGCGGCCAAAACTCTAGACGCGTTTTGAGCTCCAGAGTCGCTAAACAGGACTCGAACCGAACGTGTGGCCCCACCAATGGATTCCTCGTTCGCAGAGCAATCCATTGGTGGGGTCACACGTTCGATTCGAGTCCCATTGAGCGACGCTGGAGCTCGAAACGCGTCTAGAGTTTTGTCCGCCTCCACCGGTCTTCTGGCCCACTGTGCGGCTGGCCTGCTTGGTCGCTCCGTCTCTCTCTCGCGCCCCCGCCGGTCCCCGCGGGACGCTGGGGTGCGAGAGAGACGGCGACGAAGGCGCTGTTCGGGAACCGCGGCCGCTCGCATTTGCATAAAACAGTGCTCGTGGGTGGCTGGCTGGTTGCTTTAGCTGCTTAGCCGGCCGAGGGTCGGCTTGGCTGAGCTTGGCCGGGCTTGGCCTCCGCCTCTAAGAGGGACTAGACTAGAAGGACGTCCCTTTTGGCGGTGGCCATCGGAGCAAGCCATCGCAGCAAGCGGCAAGAAAGTCAAGGGGTCTGTCATTTTGATCAGCGCTAAGTGCTGTGGTGGCGCTGGAGCACGGCGAAGCACGGCGAAGGGGTGGGCCCTCCATGCCCGCAAAATCCCTGGCGGGGGGGGGGGCGTAGTCTCTTCGCGTCGCCCTGTGCTTCGCCCGGGTAATCGCGGGCCGAGTCTCTCCAGCCGGCCAGGCAGGCAGGCGCCACTGGTCCGTGTGAGGCTCCAGCGGGCTCCAGGGAGGAGCTCTAGGAGCCCGGCCGCTCCGCTGGAACCGCTGGAGTCGGCAATCTGGGAGACGTATTGTGGTGGGCCGGCTGGAAGCGTCCCGGACCGTGTGTGTGTGTGTGTGTGTGTGTGTGTGTGTGTGTGTGTGTGTGTGTGTGTGTGTGTGTGTGTGTGTGTGTGTGTGTGTGTGTGTGTGTGTGTGTGCGTGCGTGCGTGAGAGAGAGGGGGAGAGTGTATGTGTGCCTGGGGCCCCGGGCGGCCCCGGGCCCCGCCCGCCACTGTGCCCTGGAATACGCGCTCGCGCCGAGTTTGTCCAGGCCGGCCGTGTACACTGTCGCTGTGTGTGTGCCCCGCATCATTTGACGGACATGGCGGTCGGTATTAATAGTGGCGCTGTGTGTGTGCGTGTGTCTGTCTGTGAGTGTGTCTGTGGACGAGGAAATGATGAAGAGACAGGGCAGATGCGCGGTGGGTGGTGGGTGGAGTGGGGGCTGAAATGATATGCAACTCTAATGATAGCGGTCCTGGCGTCGCGGCGGTGCGTTACGTGGTTTCTGGCCGTGGCCGCGGGGCCCCGCCGTGGCCCGCCACGGCCCGCCGACCACCTCGAAACACGAGTTTCTGGATGTCGCTGTCTGGATGTCCCGTGCGGTGCCTCGCTGCCTCGCTGCCTCCCCGGTTCCTGATGATGATTAATGGACTGGATTCTGGATTGGTGCGCTGCCTTGGCTCGGCCTCGGCTTGGCCTCTCGGAGGCCCTGTAGGCTCTGCAGGCTCTGCAGGGAGGGGAGCATCGAGCATGCCGACTTGACTCCAATCGACTCGAATCGCCCAGTCCGCGGCCTTTGGCTTATCCGGCCCCGCCGGCCGGGCCTGATCAGGCCTGATCTGAGCGAGCAGTTTGGAGCGGGATGGGTCGGGTCCGGCCCGGACGGTCGAGGTGAGTCGGGGCCCGGGACTGATTCTGAACGGTCCTCTGTTTCTCTCTCGCTCTCTCGCGCCCCTGCGCGGTCCACGCGGCGCCCCGTGAGTGCGAGAGAGACAAGGGTGCTGTTCGAGCGGCTGGGCTGACAGCGGACAGGCCTCAGCCTGTCCTCCTTCCGACTTGCGACTCCGTAGGCGTGCTCTCTCTCTCTCCCTCTACACAGCCCACCTGGGACCTGGATTGGAAAGGGCCGAAAGGGGTGATGAGAGCGAAGGCGCCCCGCCCCCGCCCCGCCCCGCCCCGCCCCCTGCCGGTGACGCCAGCCGTTTCTCATTGCTCTTTATCGGCGTGGGCCTGGCGGCCTGGGCAGGCCTCTGTGCCGGTGCCTCGGTGCCTTGTGCCTTTCCACTCGGAAAGCAAGCGCCCCGCCCCACCCCGCCCGCCCCGCCCCCCCCGCCCCGCCCTGCTCCGCCCCGCCCCGCCCCGCCCCGCCCGCCGTATGCAGCCCCTCGGACTTTAAATTGTCAGTGAGGGGCGGCCATTGTGTAGCGTAACGTGAGTAGCCGGCCGCCACGGCGGGGCCAGGGGGGCGTATGTCTGTGTGTGTGTGCGCGCGCGCGGGGGGGGGTGGTGTTGGAGGGGTCGTTTGGCGATGCCCCGCGGGAAACCTGCGTACCGCGGCCTGAGTGGGCAGGATCCCGCTAACTTGGCGCTGCGCAGGTTAAATTCCGAAAAAATTTGGCCCCCGTCCGGCCAAGCTCCCCCCCCCCCCTGCGGGACGCCCTCCTTTTGGGGAGTGCGGGCAAAGACGTAGCGGCCGGGCTGTTGGGGAAAGGCCGCCCGCCCCGTTGGGCGCTGCGCAGGTTGATTCCGAAGAGTGCCTCGTCGCTCTGTCTCTCTCCCACCCACCCCTGCGGGACGCCCTCCTCTATGAGTGCGAGCGAGACGGAGCGACCAGGGCAGTGTTCGGGAAGGCCCTGAGCCACGAGGCCAAGCCTAGAGGCCAAGCCTAGAGGCCAAGCCTAGAGGCCAAGCCTAGAGGCCAAGCCTAGAGGCCAAGCCTAGAGGCCAAGCCTAGAGGCCAAGCCTAGAGGCCAAGCCTAGAGGCCAAGCCTAGAGGCCAAGCCAGTAGGCCAAGCCTAGAGGCCAGCCAGAGGCCAGTAGAGGCCAAGCCGAGGGCCCCGCCCCGGGCCGCGCTGCCCGCCGCACCTGGAGACTGATTCCGAGCGTCGTTTTCATCGCTGTCTCCCTCGCACCTTCAGGGCACGCCCCGTGAGTGCGACAGAGACAGAGCGACGAAAACGACTCTCGGAATCAGCCCCCTGGCCCCTGGCCGTGGCGGCCGTGGCCGTTGACGGAAAGGTTGGTGTGTGAATCGCCGCGCGTTGCGGGGCTGCGGGGCTGCGGGCCGTGCTGCGGGGGGCGCCCTGCCCTGACGAGGAAGGGGAGGCGAGGCGGGAAAAAAGTGTCGGCGGAAATGTCAGGGAGACGCGGCGTCCACGCCTTGGCCCGGACGGGGTCGTCCACGAGTTACGTCACGGCCGAGGTCTTGCCGCGGTGCGGTGCACACATTGGAGGTCAGGTTGACCCGGGCACCCGGGAGAGAGAGGGAGAGAAACAGAAAGAGAGAGAGAGAGAGAGAGAGAGAGAGAGAGAGAGAGAGAGAGAGAGAGAGAGAGAGAGAGAGAGAGAGAGAGAGAGAGAGAGAGAGGGAGAGAGGCCCCAGGGTGGCGGGATGCTTATTTCTCATTAGCGCCCCGACACGACATGGTCGTCGCCGCCACCCTCGGCACCCTCCGCCTCCCCGGCGGCGCGGGGCGGGACAACCCCGTCCGCTTCTCGGCCGCCGCCACGCCGCCACCCTCGGCCAGTCGGCCCGGCCCGGATATTAGTGCGGACTCGACTTCCTAATGCAGGCCGTGGACATGAGGGTGGCTGCGGGCCGGGCCGGGCCGGGCCGCTGGCTCGGAAGGAAAATGATTCTCGAGCGCGGTGCCGTCGTCCCGTCCCGTCCGCCCCCGCACTGGAAGCCACGCCACTGGAAGCGCAGCGGCGGCCGCGCCCAGCAAAAAGCCCCTCGTGTTGCGACTCGGCGGGTAATCAAGTAGAATTAGGGGTCGTTGGTGGGGTGTGGCCGGTGCCGCCGTGCCGCCACTGCTGGCCAGGCCGGGCCGCCTCCCTCCCGCACTTGTTCGTGTGCCCCGCCGCCCCGCCGCGCACCTAAGTGCGCTTGGCTCCCGGGGGCGCGGGGCCCGCGGCGACGTGCAGCCCCGCTGTCCCTTGCCGTCCACCGCCAAATGAAACCGAACGTCTGAAAAAGTAAAGTCACCTTTACGTCGCCTTCATGGATTTCCCCTGAATACGTTTCGTTTCCTTTGCCCGCTCCCACCGTATCCACGGCCTTCCCGATCCAGTGTCTGTGCCTTGTCCTTGTGTTTGTGTGTGTGTGTGTGTTTCCGCTTGGAGCTGAGCCCCCCTTCCCTGTTCCTGTGTGTCTCCAGATGTAGCGAGCAGCAGAACTGCAGCGTGGCCGCGCACACCAGCATGTTCGGGGACCCGTGCCCCGGCACGCTCAAGTACCTCGAGGCTCACTACCAGTGCACGCCAGGTAAGTGTCGTCCGGTCTTGATCGCCACCAGCGCGCCCTGCGCCACCACGGCGTCCTCTAGGGTCTACGCCCCCAGTTCAGCGCGAGGTCAAGTTAGGTTTTGCATGCTGCACGGGGGGTTAACGTTGGCAAGCTTAAACAATATAAACCTTTTTCTTTATTCTTTTTGCTGGGGAATGTATTTACCGGTGTAGCATGTAGTACCGGCGGTAGCCGGCGCATCGCGTGTGGCGTTGGGTCCTTATCACTGTCGGGCACGGCACAGCCAGGCATAGCCAGGCATAGCCGCGGTCTGGGCGGACGGCATACGGGATAGCCGGACAAAACGGAACGCCCCGCCCCGCCCCGCCCCGCCCCGCCGGCCCGGCAGCACACGCTAAGTGCCGTGGGCGATAGGTAGGCTGAGGGACGCTTATGGGCTGCCGGAGTATCGTCATGATGTCCTGCAGGAATGCTGCGCGCTGCGCGGCGGTGCCGTGAGTACGGCCAGGCACACTGTTTCAAAGTGTCGAGTTGTTTTTTTGAGCTTTCTGTCGCTTTACCGTGGCAAGCCCGGCCGGCTGCAAGGGAAGCCCCACGAGGGCCGCGGTCGCTTTCGCGTGGGGCTATCGAGTGGCGTGTCCGAGACTCGCTGTGAATTTACTTCAGTCGCAGTGTGGCGGCGTGCTTCAATTTTAACGAGTGTGGCGTTGCTTTGCAGTGTCGAGTGTGGCGTCCACGCCGCGGGCCAGCCCGCCGTGGCTCATCACGTCGCAGCCCAGCGTGTGGAGCACGGCCAAGCTGCCCCCGGGGCTGCTCAAGCCCGCCGCGCCGCCGCAGCCGCCCCCGCAGCCCGCCGCCGGACCCACCCCCGCGCCGGGGCCAGGGCCGCCCGGGCCGGCCGCCCCCGGACCGGCCGCCGGCTCGGACTCCGCCGGTCCGGAGGGGCAGGCTGGGCAGGCGGGCAGCTCGCCGACCGCCCCCGCGACGCAGACCACAGGCCGGCCCGCCGCCGCCCCCGCGCCGCAGCCGCAGCCTCAACCGCCGCAGCCGCCGCCCCAGGAGCGGGAGCGAGAAAGGGAACGGGAGCGGGAGCGGGAACGCGAGCAAGAGACGGCGCTGGAGCCCGCCCCCGCGCCGCCCCCAGCGCCGAGCCCTGCCCCCGGCCCCTCCGCCGGATCTGGCTCTGGTCGAGACTCCAACAATGATCCCCCGCCAGTGCGGGAGCAGCAGCCCCTGCCTTCCAGCACACCCGGTGAGTAGCCACCTTCCTACCTTGCTCCCTCGTTTAATTTTGTCTCCTTGCATTTTGGTTGACGATTGTTGTTTTGCGTTTGGTTGCAGCCACGTCAACTGCGAGCATTGACGCGTCTCTGTCTTCAAGTAATCCCTGGTTCCAAGGGGAGCTGTCCCTGTGCAGCCCCCTGACGGCTCGGGGACTTTACTGGAACTGGACTCGAGCGGGCGAGGTATGTTGCCTTAGTTTTATCGAGTGTATGACGGCGTTTGTTTGCGGTTTTTCCTGTTTCTAACGCCGTCTGCTCGTTGCAGGTTGCTGTGCAAGCTTGTCCCGGCGGCGCCACGGGAGTGGCAAAGTGGCGCTGCAGCCCTTCTTCCATGTGGGAGCCGGAAACCCCCGATTTGAGCGAGTGCCGCTCAGTCTGGCTGACCAGCCTTGAATCTCGAGTACAAGAGGGAGATTCGTTAATCAGTATTGCCAATGATTTGTCTCAGGTGTGCTATTAGATCTCATACTATTCTGTTAATTTTATTATATTTCCAAGTTGAGAAATTTATGATTTATGTCCTCTCTTGATTTTTTTCAGGTCACCAGTAGCAAAACTTTGTATGGAGGTGACATGATGACAACCACTAAAATTATGAAGGCTATGGCAGAGAAGCTAGCAAAAGACAGTCAGACCTTTCCAGATCTTCAGCAAAGAGAAGCTATTGTGACTGAGCTGTTGCATGGAGCCGTCAGAACTGGGTCCAATCTTCTCGACACTGCCCACATGCCAAGCTGGCACGATTTAAGTTATCGTGAGCAGATGCTAGTTGCCACCTCTTTACTCATTGGGCTTGAAGAGAATGCATTCCTGGTAGCTGATGCTGTTGTGACAGAGAAAACTGTGATACAATCTTTCAAAAATATTTGTAAGTACAAGTTGCCTTAATATTGTTATTAAACTCAACAGATTTCTTGTTTTCTGTTGTTGTTTTTGTTTGCATTTTAAAATGGTGTTTTCTTTTTGTTGCAGTACTCAGTGTCAGGGTCCTAGAAAATCGCAGTATAGGCCTAACTGAACAGTTTCCTACTGCTGCTGCTCTCAAGACATGGGATGGTCGTCTTGTGTCAGATGGAGACTGGTTGGAACTTCCAAGGGGTGCCCTTCTAGACAATTCAGACAAGGGACTGGTTCGCTTAGTATTTGTTGCATTTGATCGCCTTGAGGAAATTTTACAGCCTAAAGGAGACCCTGTAAGTAAACTGAAAATTTTTGAATTTTTTAATCAACGCATGTTGGCTGTAGTTGTTATCACTGACACCATCCAATTTTTTTTTCTTAACAGGTTGAAAACAGTGTTGGTGTCATTAGCAACGTCACACGAGTACTCAACAGCAAAATCATTTCAGCATCTCTTGGTAAAGGACGCCACATCCAACTTTCAGAGCCAGTTCGCCTTACACTTAAACACATACGAACTGAAAATGTTAGCAACCCTTCTTGTGTGTTTTGGGATTATACCATGAGGTAAATATATCAACTGTAAATGCCCTTTTTAACGCTATTCAAAGTACGTTTTTACTAAAACAACTTTTTACTTTGTTTCAGTACATGGTCAGAGGAAGGCTGCCGAGTACGCAGCAATAATCAAACACACACAGTCTGTGAATGTGAACATCTCACAAACTTTGCTGTTCTTATGGATGTCCATTCAACACTGCTACCACAAGTTCATCAAGCAGCACTGCAAGTGATCACCTACGTTGGCTGTGTCATATCAGTTGTTTGTCTGGTCCTTGCCATCCTCACCTTCCAACTGTTTCGTGGACTTAAGGTAAAGCGGAACAGCGCAGGAAATCGTTTGCCTCGTAGACATCTTTGTAGAAGTTCATGTAGTGCCACATCACGTAGTTCATCCCATAGTCAAATGTTAAGTCAGCTTTGCTCTAGAAGGGAACAGTCATCTTGCCAGTGTGGAGCACAGGACGAATCATGTAGTCAAATGCAGGATCTTTGTTCAGAATCTTGCACTCCACCCCGTAGTCAAGTTCATAATCACATTAACCAGTTGTGTGGGGAATCATTCAATCAACCGCATAATCTGATAACCACTCAGCCAAGAAGCCAATCTCATGCTCATCCATGTAACGAAAGGCACTTGTGTGTTGAGTCCTGTGGTGAGAATTGCATTCACCAGAATAGTGCAGGCGCGGCACCGTGCGCTCAAACGCTCGGACATCCGTGCGATGACCCTCATGGCCTAAGGCCACAGCAGGTTCACTGTGATACATATGGCAGAACTTGTATAGGTTCTCGCCAAAATACTCTTAATCGATCAAGCAGATCGTGTTCTCGTAGCCATGCTTGTGATACTTTGCGCTCACAAGCCCGAGGTTGTGATGGTCCCACGAGTTTACCCGCTCACCTGTCACAGCCCCATTCTTGTAACGGAGCCTACACTCTGAGGCATATGAGACCTCCATCTCAAAATCATTTTTGTGAGACAAGATGTGACTCAGTTTCTGACCAAACTTGCCAAATCTACAATGAATTGAGCAGTAGAAGTCACACTCCAACTTGCGCGCAAGCGCTTCATAGTTTGTCTATGACACATTCACAATTAGAGCCCAACTATTGGTCACGAAGGCCACTAGGGAGGCCACGGAATCCTAGACATGATGTTGCATACAATATGGAGATTCCTAGAGTTTACTCAAGAGCTCTCAGTGACGATAGTCCAGAGTATGAATACATTAGTTAGTAATTGTTATTATTTCACTGGTGTACCTGTGCTCTTAAGAAAGACAAGACTGGTCTTGTTATAGTACTGAAGTGTTATGATTTGTTACAAATTCTAATTCAGACGAAATAAAATAAGTGTAGATATTTGTCTTAAGCAAAATTCTCCTTTTTTACTCGTTTCATTTCAATTGATCAATTATTTTTGCCTTACTGGATATTGACCACTTCAGTATTATACAAGTTCGTATTTATAACTGTGTTTTTGCTGAGCCTTTCGTTTTTACCTATTAGATTTTAATTTATTGACTGCATTTTGTACTCATGTAATTTATTATGTTGCTTATTTGTATTATAGTCAGTTGTACAGTCAATGATTCTTGTGCCTACCTGTGACAGTCTCTGTAATTATTGATATTTATTAGCATTATTTTATGTAATTTTGTACATAGCCATGATTTATTCAGTGAGCATTTGTCATTGCTTTTATTTCCACACTGCTCTCACACCTGCAGCTGCTTTTGTCTCTTGAGACTATGCCTTCATTTTGTAGATTGCTTATTGCAGCATGAAATTTTAACGCTTATATTGTGTAAATATTGTAAAATTTTGTTTATTTTTGTTTTTAGTTAAATAAAGATTTGTAGTTGAATTTTATCAACTACTTATACAGGTAACATTTTGTTTTGTTTGCCACCCCTTTCATTTTATTTGCTTGTTGCCTTCTGGAGTCATTTTTGCAATTTCCATAGTCACATTTTGTCAGAACTATGCAATAATTTCATTCCATATCCATTGAAAAAAAAAATAAACAGTTTTTTCAAACCGCTAGGCACTAACAACATGTGATGCTGTCTTGTAATGGCGCCACTATTTCACATATCATCGTATTCCATGGTACCATGATCATTGATCACCAGTTCGATGTCATTAGATCAAGCCTCTTCATTGGTAATGCATGTGTCTGCTCAAGGTGATAGTCACGCATCTGAAATGCTTCTGCTTCATTTTCTTGTTGATTTTAGCTTCAGTTGACTTAAAAAAGTGTATGTTTCATAAATCTGATGTGTAACACTTCTATATTGTCATTAGTATGCACTTGCCTATACCACTGGGTTAGATCACAACTGCCTTTAATAGTTTTTATTTTTTACTCTTTGATCATCTGCACTTAGTAGTTGTACTGGTAGTCATTGTTCATGCACACCAATGCACCACAATTTTTAAAAATTTAATGGAATACAGTTTGACATCATTGTTTGATCAAATTTCCCTTGAATCAAAACTCTCTGAGAAATAACTGAAAATGTTTTACAAGTATCTTGCCAAATATCAATTTACAAGGTATGGGTTGATCTTCCCAACCATGGTGTCAGTCTGCACTCACTGAATTCAGTACTCATCTTGGGTGTAAATCATGTCTTTCTTTGGTACTGTGGTACTGAAAAGCACATTCTATTATGTGTGCAGTCGGATCGCACAACAATCCACAAGAACCTGTGCATCTGCCTGCTTCTTGGAGAACTCCTTTTCCTGGCTGGGATTGGGCGAACGGATACACCCATCCTATGTGGTGTCGTTGCTGGACTTCTCCACTTCTTCTTCCTGTGTGCCTTTGCTTGGATGTTTTTAGAAGGTAAGTCTATCAAACAGTGGGACTACAGACTCTTAATTTCAGATTCATTTTTCATAATTACTCTGTATTTTATTCGCAGGTTTTCAACTGTATGTCATGCTAATAGAAGTTTTTGAAGCGGAAAAATCACGAGTCCGCTGGTATTACTTGTTTGCATATGGTGCACCACTTGTGGTTGTAGCAATCTCTAGTGTCGTGGATCCTTTTTCTTATGGCACTGAGCAGTACTGTTGGCTACGTGCTGACAACTTTTTCATCTTCAGCTTTGTTGGCCCTGTGATAGCTGTGATTCTTGTAAGTTCTTCAATTTCCATTCGAGTTATCTCTCTAAACAGGTATTTAGGCTCATTTTTAATGACAATTTTTGTTTTTAGGCCAACTTAGTATTTTTGGCAATGGCAATATTCATGATGTGTCGCCATGCCAGCTCAGCAGTGGCTATGAAGAGCAAGGAACATTCTCGCCTAGCTAGTGCAAAGTAAGTCCATACACTCTAACTTTAGGATGTTCTGCGCTTTTGATTCGATTTAGCCAGTTTCTACTCAAAGGGCCTCACCTTTTTAAAAATTTAAACTAAGTTAACAAGTTTTGCTGAATAACACATGACGGCACAAACTGAGAGTTGGTGTTTCCTCAACAAGTATTCTTTAAATGGTCTTGTCTTTGCTCTGGTTTTCTTGAAGTAGGAAGCAAAAGAATAATTTTGTTGACCACTCTGCATGATGGTTTGTCAGATATCTTGATTGCATTTTGTGCAAACATTTGAGTTTGTTTTGTAATGTGATTTGCTCCCTTGTATAACTATCCTTTCTTCCCTCACTCTTCCTTTTGTTTACTTTTTCTTTTTTGTCTTGACACTCAAACAGAATCTTCAAAACACATTTTTCCTTCTAATGGTTTTTAAAAAAAAACTTGTTGTTTGAACATTTGATATTACTCATCTAATGCTATTTTTGCAAATGTAAGTCAGTAAAGTCTGTCCTTCTCAGTCTCCTCACTTTCTGAAATCTGGTCCTGATCCTTTTGCCTCTACCCCTTGTTCTCCTCCCTGTATCTTCCTTTCTCTTTTCCTTTTACCGGTGTATTGCGTGTGCTGGTATTTAGATTTGAGTTTTATTGTATCGAATTGCACTGCTGTCTCTTACCTTACACCACATTATTTACATTGTGTTAAACTAAACCAAGGTTTGCACTTAGTGTATTCTGCAGTCAAAGGAAGTGTTCAGAGGGTATGCCTTTCTCTGAGGAAGGTTCAATACTAAAATAGGTGGTACCTGTTTAGGAGGCTTCCTTAATGAACACAATCACATTTGAGTTGCCTATTTGACCAAATTGGGGAATTGCTAAAATTTTAGTTTGAATCAACATCACATATTGTGCTTCATAGATTAAGTTTGAGTATATTTTTTCCAGAAATGAGTGTATTGTTTGAAGTTGAGTATGTTGTTTGATGATGTGAAACAGTTCAGGGTGATATGTGATACTGTGTGATGCCATATCACTCTTGGATCTGCTTCACTGACCATCTTCGGTGGTGGCCCTCATTGACAGCTAATTTTTTCCTGTGTGTTCTCTTGCATGGCGTAGTGGGAAAGAAGAGAATGCCCTTCAAACCAAATTACAGTCACATCTGTAAGATCACGTTTTTATTAATCAAAATCTAATTGTGCTTTTTGTCTGTGTTTTTAATTTGCACGTCTATATTTTAATTGTTTTTGTGAAGCTTGCATGTATGTGAATTTTCCCTCACATTTGCAAGTGCAGGCAGCTGCTTATTTGTTTGGCCCAACTGTGCAAACTTGCGCTTGACAAGTTTTACAAGTATTTTCAAGCAGCTGCTACTATGCTGTGACTGAATCAGAGTGTTTTGATAAATTACCATCTTAAAATATATTTTCACTTTTGTGAATCTCTTGGGCATCACTTTAAAGGGTGCCACCGGTAACTGCTTGGATCTAGATGGATACTTCTTTATGTATGTGCACCTGACATTTATGTGACCAGCTGCCTCTTTATTTAAATGCACTTCATATGCCGTTCTGTGGTAGTACTTGTTGTTTCCATTTTGCCATCGTATCAGCCTTTGACAAACTGTCTTCGAACTATCTGTCTTCACTTTTGCATGAATTTGACACTACTTGCACTTTTAAAAAATATTTAGCAGATTTAGCTGCAAGTTTAAATGCTTTTATAATAGAACATTGCTGGATCAACTATCAACAAGTTTTAAAATACTACATTAAAATAACTAGAAGGTTTTAAAGAATCATGCATTGGTGTGTCTTGTCAGTCAATGATGCTTGCTGAGATCAACGCTAAGAGTGAGAAATTTGTCTACCTGTTGCTAACAAATGATTATTGTCTTGGTGTGCCAATGTCAATGTGTTTTGTGCCTGTTGCAATTTTGTGATCACTTGTGCATTGCATGCATTTATCTTATCTTACTTCGAATTTATCAGGAAGGCTCAGATCTTTTTTGTCTTATATATTAAAGTTTAGAATGGACCAATGCAATAGGGCTCCACTTTCACAGATTAACAGATTTTATCATTTTAATGTATTGGATTGATTAGCAACCAAAAAAATGTGCCTTTAAATGGGAAAGAAATTAGTTTTAAGAAGTATGAGCCCTTCCTGTAATAATTTCTGTGAGCTAGCCCTTAGCTTAGCTTGATTGTAATTTTTATAATTCAACAATTTTCAACTTGTTTGTCCACAGGGCCTGGTTGAGAGGTGCGATCGTTCTGGTGTTCCTTTTGGGCCTCACCTGGACCTTTGGTCTCCTGTACCTGAACGAGCAGACAGTAGTGATGGCCTACATTTTCACCATCTTGAATAGCCTTCAAGGACTCTTTATATTTATATTTCATTGTGTTCAAAATGAAAAGGTAAGAAAAATACTTGGCCTTGAAAAAGAAAAATCTGTTTACCTATGAACCCTCCCCTCTTTTTCCTTCTGCCTTTCCTGTTTGTACATTTGGATCTCTTCTTTGTCTCATATCAAGAACTGTAATCCTTTGTCATCTTGTACATAGTTTACTGTGATATTTATCTGATAGGGTTTTATACTAATCTTGAAATGAGAACTGTATTGTAGATTTTAAAAAAGAGTTTGTGTAATAAATATGCTACTAAAAAAACCAGTAATGGTTTTGCGTAGTACTTTATAAATCATCCTGTCTATATCCTCATCCCTGCATTCGCTCTCCTTTTCTTTCACCTCAAGTTTCTTTTCCTTTTTGCCTTTTTTAAGTTTTTTTCCCCCCTTTGCTTTCTGCTCCAGTTGACAAGGTCTTATCTATAGAGTGTTCTCTGTATTTAAAACTATCCGAGAGCAGGAATTTGAAGGTTTTGTTTGTTTTGTTCTTTATTTTATTTTTGTTTGTTTTCTTTTCCTTTCCTTAGGTTCGCAAAGAATATAGAAAATTTGTCAGAAGACATTCTTGGTTACCAAAATGTCTTCGGTGTTCAAAATCGTCTTCGAATGGCAGTAAAGAGAGGCGATCCAGTCTTTACACAGCATCGAATGGCAATCCTTCAGCACCTAACACCCACAACTCTAGTGTGGGTGGAGGATCTGATAACGCTGCCAATGTGGGTACCAGTCCTCCCCCTCCCCACTGCCAACACTACCAAGCAGGTATTGCGGCACAGCACAGTCACATTTCCTGAGGACCAGTCAAGCTCATGAATTTCAATCATGACGCTGGCATTGAATTTTATTTCCTAATTTAAGATCTTCTTAGCGTGAGTTTTGCAGTTGAGTGACGACTGACTCCTTGTACCCCACCTTCCTCTTTACAATGCTTATGTTGTAAAAACAAGCATTGCGTAATTCTTTTCATTGAGATGGTGCAATCTTTTACTGCCTTCTTCTTCTCTGTACCCTTTTACCAATGCCAAAATTGGCCCACTTTGATGTCCAGTCAGGAAACATCGGTCCTCAGGAAATTTAAAGCAAGGAAAGAAAATATTGGCACTTTGAAAGAGATTTTGCTTGACTAACAGGCCGATCGGCTGGGCTGGGTGCTGCAGTATGGTGTCTGGGAGGTGTTGTGGTGTGGTTTTATGTGTCTACTTCTGTCTCTACAGACTCATTTATTTTTTTAAATGATAAAGAAAAGAGTCCTATAGATTGAACTTATTTTTAATGCAAAGAATAATACAATCTGAATGCTTTTCAGTTCAAGCGTCATGAATATATCATCCAGTATTTACTAATATGCACAAAAAATATGTGCGGACAAGACTTTAGAAATCTTAGTACTAACTTTTAGGATGCATTTAGATCAGATTAGTTATCAGATTGGCGGCCATTTTCATAATTAATCAATATTGCCTGATGCTACAACTGATTTAGCTGATTTCCTTGGTCATAATAAATACCTAAAATTAATTTACAATCTACTCAAAATGAGGTAGTGGATGAATATTCTTTGCCTTGCTCCAATTACATTTGTTTTTTGTTTTCTTTCTCTCTCTCTCTTCCATCAAATCCTATTTTCCATGACAATAATTATGTGTAGCTACATTATCAGTTACAAAACACAAGTGGTAATTGTTTTTTCTACGATTGTTTCCGTTTGTGTTGCAGTCCTTCCTACAGCAGGGCTGGAACTCACGCAGCCTGCGTTCTTCAGGCAAGGGCCTGGGCAGCAGCACCTCCAACACGGTGGTGGTCGGCCAGGTGACCCACATGCCCGCCCACAACCCCATCCCCATCCCCGTGCACGGGACCACCATCGAGAATGGGGGCCCCGTCCTCGTCAATGACATGGACCCCAATGGCTCAGCGCGCACAGCTTCGTCCCCCCTAGAGAACCGAGTCTCGACCTTGCCGTACTCCAGGTCCAACTCCCGAGGCCACCTGCCCAAATCCTCTTCCTCTTGGGGCTCTCTCCACAAAGTACGTCATTTTTTTGCTGCACTCCAACGAATGATGACGAGCTCTTGTCTAACCCCATGCCGCCTCTGCCCTTCCAGAACATGTCTCCGAAAAACTACAGCCGTGAGCAGCTCCGCCACCAGCACCTGGAGCACGTGATGAGCAGCCCGCCGAACCACTACAACGGCCTGCAGGTGCACCACATCGCCGGCCTGGGCCACCACGGCCACGGTCCCCACGACGTGATCGGGCACGCCGAGGACGTCGCCAACGCGGCCAACGCCATGGGCCGCATGTCCTCGCTGCGGAGCGGCTCCAGCAGCCGGCGCGCGCACAGCCCCTGGAACCACACCTACACCGAGATCCGGGAGCGCGAACGCGAGCGAGAGCGCGAACGGGAGCGGGAGCGCGGGCTGCGCATGGACGACCCCGTGTACGAGGAGATCGAACGCGGCGGGGAGGTGCACGCCTCGGACTTCTCCGACGACGACGGCCGGCGGCAGAGCGACATGAGCAGGCAGTCGTCGCGGAGCTACGGCGACCACCGGCCGCTCATTCCATACAGCCCGGGCGCCGGCCCCACGGCGCCACTGCGGTACGTGCCCAACGTGAACCAGTGCGACATCGCGCGCACCGTGGCCGTGCTGGACGGCGACACCGTGGTGTGCCACCTGCAGCCCGACCACAGCCTGTACCCGCAGAGGACTCTGGGGCCCTACAACGAGTGCTACTCGCTGCAGTGAGCCGTTTCGGCAACGCTTTGGTTTGCCTCGGCCCTTATTTTTCTACTTTCATACCATGAGATAAAAGTTTAGATCCGAGCTGTGTTGTCGCTAGAGCCATTTTATTCAATTAGGACAGAAAGGACCCTTGTGTAATGAAGATTGCTTGTGATATTATGTTAGATTTGTTTAAAGGACTTCCTGAGTAATGATGTTGCGCTAGGATTAAGTGTGTAGACATAGATTTGAAAGCTAGGCCCACGATTTTGTTTCCTCTGACTGTTAGACTTGTTCAGTACTCAGTATCACTGCGTTCAAATATGTTTTATAAGGAGAGGACCTTTAGCAAAAGAATCTTAAATCTAATAGACTGATCCTTTTATAAAACATTGCTCTGTTTTCTAAGTGAAAACTGTTAGTGAAAACATTGACTTTATTATTATATGTAATTTTAGTAATTTGTGTTTTGGGCCATTAGGGTACTTATATGAGGGCTAGGAGCAGTCATTTGCTTAGCCCTAACCAATTTAAATGTGATAGTTGGGGTGCTTTACTCAAGCACTTCACACACACGGTTTTAATAACTGTGCTGTTTTTGTCTATAAATGTAAAATTGTGTATTTATATGTACCATACTGTGTCTGATGATTATGGTGTGTATTCGTAAGACATGAATGACCTGATTCATTTCATTATTATGTTACCAAATATTTTCTCGGGGCTGTAAATCAATGATCAAATTTGTTTTGGGTTCATTTTACACTGCACCAGCATTTAAGATTCTTGAAAGTGTTCTGTTTGTGCATAGAAACCCTATTTACTGAATCAAGTTAAACTCTATTGAATTACAGCTCCGAAGGTTCTGCTTTGTATGATTGTGGACAGCAAAACTCTTGTACATATAAATTTAAAATTTGTAAAGAAATAAAGTGCTATTTATTACAGTGATTTCATTGGTTGCAATTGGAGGATTCTGTTTTTCATTTAAGAATGATTTTTATTGAAGTTTTTCCATTTTCAGCCTGTAGGTTTCTATTGTTAAGATTTTTGTTATTGTTGTTTTTCCTATTTCATCCCGTCTCATGCATGTTCTTTTCTTTTTTACTCATTTTCTTTGTAATCAGGACATTCCAGACGTTTTTGAGATTGACTGGTTTGTGATACATAAATACATTTCAATATAGAATTCAAAAGTATGAAGCTCTAGAAATAAGTAAGAGACTATTTCAAAGGTTTTTCTGTGTACACCAATATTGGTTCTATTCTTTGCAAAAATTTGATTGACTATTAGAAAAGAATCCGTGTTTGTCGTTACTTATTTGATCATGATTGATTCTTCTGCAATTCATCGTCTACGTTTTCCAATCCTTATCAGTAATCAATTGTTGGCAGGACTTTTCTGCTTTTGACTGCAGATGAGAACCGACTGCTTTTCATTTAGGAGTTAATGGAACTGTGCCATAAAGTGTTGCAGGGCAACATTTATTTTCTCTTAGTTTGTCAAGACTTGATGATTTCTCTGGTGACTTCTTTTCTTTAACTGCCTGTAGACGAATAAAAGATTCTTCAATTAAAGTGAAAGATGTTACTGTAAAAGTCTGAGAGTAATATGAAATTGAAATTGAAACCAAGGATTACAGATTGTGTGATGAATTTATATAGAAAAATGTAAAGAACTTTAATTTGTATAATGTGAAAACTCAAGGAAGCTGTTATGATGAAATGGAGTGTACAATGATAGTGTTAGGTCTTAAATGTTCTTACCATGTAACTTGCCCTTCAAATTTGTAAAAAAATAAACAAAAACAAGAACTTGTAACAATAAAAATTTGCACAATCATTTCAAATAAAAACATAAATTATTAAAACAGACTTTTTTAATTTCCTGCCCCTATATCAACTTGGTCCAAAGAATTAACCATTTCAACTCTAAACAGTCCTTTTGGGTGAGCCATAAGAACGGAACAGAACACAAACATATCCTATAAGAAAGGCTCACTCAACTAGCAACAGGGGAAAAGTAATTTTTGTGCCAAACAAAATGTGTCAAAGACCATTGGGCATCGGGCATCTGTTTCTTAGGCCCATACCAACGTTCCATATGAATTTGAGACGAATCGGAGGTGGTCGACCATTTTCGCCGAAAAAAAGTTAAGGCTATACATCATGGTTTTTTTTACCGTTTTGGCAAAGATTTTAAAACGGCCCAAATTCGATTATGTTGTGCTCGAGGACTCCCTTGTGACTCCTGACTCTATTCCGAAGGCCATTTCGGCTCTCAACGGTGTTTTATGGCGAAAAACTGGAGTGCTTTCAAGATGCGCCGTGTAGGTAGGCAACCCACCATCCACACCTTCTACAACTCAACCAGTGTCACGGGAAAAGTCATTTTGACGCCAAATAGAATGCGTCAAAGACCATGGGGCACCGGGCTTCTGTTCCTTAGGCCCATAGCAACGTTCCATATGAATTTCAGACAAATCGGAGGTGGTCGACCATTTTCATCGAAAAAAAGCTAAGGCTATACATCATGGTTTTTTACCGTTTCCAGCAAAAATTTTAAAACGGCCCAAATTTGACTATGTTGTGCTGGAGCACTCCCTTAAGACTCCTGACACTCTTTCGCGAGTCATTTCGGCCCAAAACGGTAATTTTCAGGCAAAAAACTGGAATGCTTTGAGCGAGCATGCGCCGCGTGGATAGGCAAACCACCGTCCACAGTTTCTTCAGCTCAACGAGCGTCATGGGAAAAGTCATTTTCACGCCAAAAATAATGACAGTCTTTTCTGACGATTATCCATGTGGAGCTGATGCGGGTGTGGGTCTTTGCTCCTTAGCACTTTTTGCCTACATACAGGGGCAAAGTGGTGCCTTTTGCCTACCTTTCAGGCGGCTATCTAGGGGTTAAGGGGAGGAACAATTGTCCCCCCCCCCCTGGATCCGCGCTTGCACACCGTAAGTCACAGCTCCGCCATGTCTGTGAGGATGGCGGCCAGCCTGGGGTCGGGGTTGAGCCTGGCCAGGCGGCGCTGCAGGCCGGCCAGGTCGGCCTGCTCCAGCTCGGGGCGCGCGGGGGCCTCGGCGTCGCGGGGCCGCGGGTAGGCGTCGGCGTGCCGCGGGTGGGCGCAGTGCGCGAACATGCGCTCGGCCAGCGCGCTCACGCCGCACCACGCGCGGAAACACAGCCGCTCCTCGTCCGCCCAGCCCAGCCGCGCGTGCAGGGCGGCGGCCTCGGCCTCGGCCAGCGGCCGCCCCAGGACGTCCCCCAGGGCCGCGACCACGCGCTGGAAGAGAAAAGAAAAAGGCGTTCTAGTCCGCGCCGGTGGCTTCTCTGCGTCTTCTCATTCACGAACGCGTACCCCGCCGAGCAGGACTCGGGGTTCGTCGTCCAGCACTTCTTGGGCCGGGACGGGAGGGGGGTCTTGCTGCTGCGGGGGCTGGGCGACGGCGGCCCCCTCCCGGTGCAGGTTGAACACTCGGCGGTACAGCTGGGCGCTGCTGTTGCACACCTCGACGTGCTTCGTCACGTACTCCATCGGGGTGAGCGCTGTGGGTCAGGAAACCGGCAGATTATGGCAGGGACTTGGCCATGCCTTAGGGGTGCCTCCCTCCAGCCGCACTCACAGTTGAGCACGGCGCTGTTGAGGGGCAGCTCGAAGCGCGCGCTGCGCAGCGAGAAGACCCGCGGGATGCCGAGCAGGCCACCCGTCCCGGCGCGGGAGGCGGCGTCACCGTCGGGGGCGGCGTCACCGTCGGGGGCGGCGTCGGCGGCGTCGGCGGCGTCCGGCGGGGCGTCGGGGCTGGTGCGCAGCCGGTCCCTGCGCTTGGCGTGCGGGGGCAGCAGGCGGAAGGCCTCCTCCAACGCGACGCGTCTCTGAACGATGACAAAAAGCTTCAAAAATGAAGAAATGAACGAGCGCACGCTGTCGCCGTAACTACCTTCTCGTCGAACTCGCACTCCACCGTCTCCAGGTCCAGGTCCCTCTGCAGGTGCGTGAGGCTCTCGGCGTCCAGGAAGGACCGCGCCAGCGCGCGGAGCCGCGCCGTTTCCGCTGCCGCCGCCACCGCTGCCGCCGCGCCGAGGCCCTGCAGGCCCAGAAGGCCACCGCCGAGGCCGGCCGTCGACTGCTGTCCCGTGAGCGAGGGCCTCGCCGAGGGGTTGTGGCTCTCGTCACCGATGGCGGAAACCTACGTCGTTAAACTTCAACACTCAGTCTCTTGAATGGCAGAGGGTAGTTTGTGGTCGACGGGCCACAGTGCACCGTGGGTCCATGGGCCAGGTAACCGGCGCAGGCGACCAAAATTCTAGACGCGTTTTGAGCTCCAGAGTCGCTCAATGGGGCTCGAACCGAACGTGTGACCCCACCAATGGATTGCTCCCCGGACGGGGAATCCATTGGTGGGGTCACACGTTCGGTTCGAGTCCTGATTAGCGACTCTAGAGCTCAAAACGTGTCCAGAATTTTGGCCGCCTGCGCCGGTCTTCTGGCCCACTGTGCGGCCACTCGGAGGCTCGGGCGCACGCACCTGAGTCTCCCCCGGCTCGGGGAAGCCGTGGATCTCCTTGTCGGTGTCCCGCAGCCCGTCCTTGCCGGACTTCTTGCCGCGCCGCTTCTTGCCGCGCCGCCGCACCACCTCGTCCTCCTCGGTGCGGGCCTCGTCCGCGCACGTCACCACCACGTCAGGCGCCGAGTCCACGCTGGCCAGCAGGGGAGTCTCCGGGCTCATCAACACCTCGCCGCTCACGCTGGCCGCGGTCTGGAGCTGGGGGAACAGTAGACAGGCGCGATCAGGTTAGGCGGCGCGTACCTCAGTGTCTCCAGACTCAGCAGCACCTCGCCGATCACGCTGGCCGAGGTCCGGGGCTGGAGGAACAGTGGCCAGGTTAGACGGCGCGTACCTTAGCGCGGTGGCTGGCGGGCGACGGGCTGGCGGGGTGGCTGGACGGCCTGGCCATGGTGCGGCTGGCGGCCCTGCTGTTGGCGGGGGCGGGCGGCGGCCGGTACGCGGCCTGCGACGTGGGGCGCGACGCGGCCAGCGACGGGCACGGCGTGCGCGGCGTCCTCCGCTGTGCGGGGCCGGGACCGGGGCCGGCGGGCACTGCTGCTGCTCCAGCGAGGCGCCGCGCCTGGCCGCCGGGCTGCACGGCCTCGTTCGGCGACGGCGGCGACACCAGCATGGACGGCGCGGCGCCCACCAGGGTGGACGCCGGCCAGATGCCGCTCTCCGACTGCAACACGCGCCAGTCACCGGCTGGTCCTGCGTCGCTTTGTCTCTCTCACGCGAGTACGCCAGGGAAAAAGCGACGAAAAAGACTCTCTGAATCGGTCTGCTGACGACACTCACCGCCGCCGCCACGGACAGCGTGTCGTGGCTCCTGGAGCGCCGCAGGTCCAGGATGAGTAGGGTGCGCTGCGGCTGGCCGGGCTGGCCGGCCGGTCCCTGCGGCTGCATCTGCAGGTGGTACGGGTGGTACGGGTCCGGCGTGCGGCACCGGCGCGGCCCTGTCGAGGCCCCCGTCGGGGGCGGCGCCGCCAGCGAGGGCGGCGGCATGGCCAGCAGCGGGGGCGGCATGTGGGGGCGGTGGTAGTGCGGCGGCGAGTGCGGCCGCGAGTCCGTGTCCGTGTAGCGCCGGAACAACTCCTCGGGCAGCGCGTCCTCGCCCGCCAGCACCCTCTCCGTCGGCTGCAAGTGCAACAGCCCGTTAAGTCCAGACTTTCCGCAGCCCAAACATCCCACGAGAGGGTGACCAACCACCGCCTGCCTACGAGGCAATGTCTGCAGATATAGGCCTAGCAGGCAGGATGAGGTTGATTTCAACAGGGTGTATCGTGCCCGTGCGGCAACACCAGTCAGGCGCCTGTCAAATCGGGGCTGGGCCGACCCGCGCAGCAGCGCTGTTCGGCGGGCCGGCCTACGCGCGCTCAAAACTCCCAACGCGTTTTGAGTTCCAGAGTCGCTAAACAGGGCTCGAACCAAGCGTTTGACCCTACCAATGGATTCCTCGTTCAGTGAGCGATACATTGGTGGGGTCACAAGTTCGGTTCGAGTCCTTGTAGTTGTAGTGACTCTGGAGCTCAGAACGCGTCTAGAGTTTTGGCCGCCTCCACCGATCCACTGTGCACACCCACGCACCCATGTCTCCTTGACGCGGCGCAGGGCGTGCAGGGCGTCCCTGGCCTGGTTGTCGGCGGGGTGGTTGCACAGCACCGAGCACCCCCGGGCGTAGGGGTTGAGCAGCGCGGCGAGCGGGCGCAGCGAGTATGGCGCGGCGTGGCACAGCGGCGCCACCGCCAGCTGCGCGGCCTGCACCGCCGCGTCATCCTGGTAGGGCAGGGAAGAAAAGGGAAAATCAAACGCGAGACTCTGGCGGCGGCGGGACTCGAACCCGCGACGCCCGCACCTTGGCGCGCCGAGCAACAGGCCGTCGGCGTCCCTCCAGCAGGCCGGTGCGGGTGAGGAGCGTCATGGTGCTGGGCGGGCTGTCGAGGCGGCGACGCCGAGGCGCCTACTGAGCGCACATCTAGCACCCCGTGCACGTCGCGCCGTCTTCGGCCCAGTCGGAGTAACCACCACTGTTTGATCGAATCGACTGCGCGGCGCTGCGCGGTGCCTCCTCTCGCTTTCGTGCTCACTTCCGGCTCGCTGATCGCTCTTTCCGGCGCTGCCTCTTTCCTTCACTTCAATCAAGTACGCGGGGCGTGCTGCGGTGCAAACCAGTTCGAAAAGGAGCCGACAGTTTCGTATTTGAGCAAGTGTCGTGTGCGGATCCCTGTTCCTTCCCGTGGCCACGTTCATCGTTGCAGCGGCGGACCGACTTCTGTCTGTCGCGCTCGTTGGGTGTTCCGTATAGGGGTGCGAGAGAAACGGCGACGAGAACCACTCCTGGGAATCATTCTGCAGTGCACTGGGCGTGGCCCCGTGCCAGGGGGCGCGCCGGGGCTCGCTCTGGCCTGGCCGTGCCTGGCAGCCCCTCCGCGGCGCTTGGCGCTTCCGAGTGTGTATAGTGTAGTGGACGCCACGCCACTGCTTCCGCTATCGTTATCGATCGCACAGCTCCACTTTTCGAAGCCAGACCTGAACCCCGCCCTCGCCTTCGTTGCTGGGGCAACAGCGGGGTCATGGCGGGGCTACGGGGCTGCCAGGAACACCTGGCTAGCTCGGGGATCAAAGCCCTGCTGCGCTGTGCTGCGCCCTCCCTCTACAGAGCTGGGCAGGCCGTCGGCACAAGTACATCTGGGTGTGGAAAGTTGAAAAAGGATATGCAGTGATAAAAGACATTGGACGGGATCCATAATGTTTATTGAAACACAGTCACAAAGCAAAAAGACAGATGAACATAAACAGAAGGGAGATCAGGTCGCTCAATCACAATACACCACAAAGTGAGTATTCCAAAGTCTTAATTTTGCTTGCAACAGACAACACACAACAGGTGCCATATGCAAACCAGTCAGGGAGCTCATAGTCTTTGGTTGGTCCTGGCATCAGCACTGGGTGTGCCTGCTAGGCTCCCAAACAGTCAAGTGGAGATGCAAAAGACTACTGTGCTATCATTGCACACAGGCTCAGCTTGCACCATTCTTACCACCAAGCAACAATCCATTTTAAAAAAAATTGTTCTACCAAAAAACGGGGGAGGGGGAGGTTCTTAATTACAATGATACATATATTTTTGTTTTGTGCAGCTCAATGAATATTTAAATAAAATTATAATGGGTGCAACATAAGAAACAAACAGCATGTGCGCATTTCTTTAAAAATTGAAATTCAGGACTAGTTTACACACAATAACATTAACATGCCAATTCATGAGGATTAGTTTTAGAAAGATTTAAAGGTGGTTCAACAGCCAAAGGGAGAAAACACTTCAAGATGAATCAAACTTGAGGGCAAAGGCAGTGAAGCCTCACACATCATAAACAAGAAAATGTAACAGAAGTTCTATGAAACCAGAGGTTGTGCACAAGTCCGCACTACATGAATTCATGACAATAAGGGTAAAGTTAGACATGTTTGTGTTATGTTGAAGGCTTCCAATGGCACAACACATGTTATAATAATGATAGCCCTTCAAAGATCCTCCACCAAAATCGCCCTATCCAGGAAACAACAGTTGAGACCTACAAGACAAAAATGTTAACTTGGACTGGTGCTGTAATCAATCACACAAGAGCAAACTTGTCGCAACTCGACAGGCAACTAAACGCTAACCTTTGACATGGTCGTTTCTTGAGTGAATGAAAGAAGTACATGACACTGCAAATCAAGACATTTTGGCACTAACCATTGACACAGACAAAAGTATTACCAGAAGCAAAGGTGGCCTTTCAGTTTGCAGTGAAAGCCCAAACTAAACTGGCCAACAAGAAAAACAGATCAGTCCAAGTTGCTGAATTTTATCACCAGAACTGCACAAAAATCAAGTTTTTTCAAATCTTTTTAATAATAAAATAATCAGAGGGGTAACTACAAGGTATGCAATCATACCGACTAACTAACATACACTATGTTTTCAATATTTAAAAAAATGACATGGAACAAGATTTTACCTCTTACTGGAACAGATCTTTCAAAGCAGCATACACTGAATTCCTAATCGCCCCAGACTAACAGTTTTGATAAGTTCTGGTCCAGGGAGGGGTGACAAGTAAGAAAAGTCAAAGTGATTGCCAAGCTACTCACAAAATAGGAGGCAAGGAAACAACACAGGGGAAATATGCACCAAGATGTAAAAATAAAATAATTAAGGAATAAGATTAGCATACACATGGCAGGAAATGACAGGAGATTTCCTCCTGTAGTCACCAGGTGATTGCACACTACGATATCCTGAGATATAAAACAGCAAAGGCAGAACAGGATGAAACTTGATTATGTATGAGGTCAGTTATTACAAAATTCACAACTACAATACAACAAAGAGGACATTGGATTCAGATCAAAACCACACAATTTATGACATTGAAACAAAGTTTTTCTTTCAGTTCTCAGCAGAATAAATAAGTACCGAGAAGAAATACATTGAGAAAGAAAAAAGAGAAGCCTAAAGATGGATTCAAAGGCATATGTTTTAAGTCATGAAAGGTCAATATAAAATACTGAAAATATAGTTTAAAGAGTAAGTACGAAATTGTGATGAAAAAATAGACAAAAAGAAATCAGAATTTCACAATTCAGCCATACTTATTTTTGATGTGGAGGAAACAACTATACCTACCACACTTCACATGAACATCTTTCATACAACCAGTTGGAATAAAAAAGTGCATGTTTAGACAGTTTCGTAGTCCTTGCGAAGAGCACGGCCCAGGCAGCAAGAGAGAATCACACCAGCAATCTGTGAAATAAGGGATAAGTAGTTAAACAATTAGTCTAGGGCTGATCTTAATTTAAATTAGAATGATTTATTTTCACAAAAGATTACCTGGATGAAGCAGACACCAAGACCAATACCAACAACAAGGAAACCCTTGTCGTGGAAAATCTTCTCAAACTTCATCAAGCATCCTTCCTTGTTGTAGGGAATGGGTCCATTGAGAATGCATTTGTCTTTCACATCCTTGTCTGGGCAGCAAAAATCAGGCAGAGTCGTATTCTTGAAGACAGTCTGCCAATCGTCAGGTCCATTGACACCACAGCATTTGAACTGAAACACATTGAAGAGACAATCGAAATGACAATAATGTACATCTACAAAAAAAATAGGATCACACACAAACATGCCTGGAAGTTAACCTACATCGTGTTGCATGATGTTCCAAGCTTCCCTAACGGTGGTGGTGTTGTCATAACTCTTCAGTGACTCATTCAGGCTGGTCTGAAGAACATCATGAATTTTAGATTGCAGCAAGTAGCCAGCAACAGCAGCAGTCAACTCCAAAATGAAGATGATGATGAGCAGAACGGCAAACTAAACAGGAGAATTTGTGAATTATTAACTCAGAGTACTGAATCACAAGTTCAATCATACTGTTAGAAATACACTCACCGACATGACCATGACATTGCTGTTACGGACGGCACCACAGCAGCCGAGGAAGGAGATCAAAAAGACAATCGAGCCAACAGCAATTAGCAGCACTGCTGCCGACCAGAAATGATCTACTACTAGCTGTAGATTTTTCTGCCTAGCGACAATCGTTGCCCCCACTGCCAATATGACAATGCCAGATATCTGAAACATAAAACAAGACATGACAATTAGAATTCCAAATTGCAGCTGCCATTACAATAAAAGTTACAAATTATGTTTCATGGGCAGTATTGGGTGGAAAGGGGTGGGGTGGAAACATCCCTAACCTCAAACCAAAATGAATGTACACTAGGGAAAACCCCTCCAAGTTTCCTGCATTAGTATTGATGTCCAAGAAAATTCATTTCGTCCCTGAGCTGTGAGTCCCGTCAGTTACACTGAACAGAGGACACGCCGACCCACAACAAATGGCAGCCGCTTGACGGGTCCGCCCCTTCCCCACGCCGGAGTCCCGGTGGCGGTCTAGCGGTGGCCTAGCCGGGGTGTGTCCGTGTCCCCGAACCCCATAAAGCTTAACCTACGGGAGCCCCAGCAACAAGCGTGTCGAGGCCGGTGGCCTCGCGGAGTCCTCCATTCTGGAGCGATTTGGAGCGTCACAACGACAGGAAAAACAGACGTTCGCGAGGCAACGTTACGCAACAAAGCGCGACAGGCGTTGGCGAGGAGGACCCCGTTTGGTAAATGAAACATACACGGCCGCAGCGCCGCTGACAACCCCGGGCACGGCCAGTGCATTCTCTGTGGACGAACGGCCAAGAAAGGGGTCGACCCAGAACCTGGAACTAGGGGTGGGGCAGCGGCCTCCCTCCAGGCGAGCCAGGGCGAACCCATCTTGGCAGGGGAGGTACCAGGTCAGGTCAGGTACCGACAGCGAGAGCACCAGAGGAACTGGCCTACAAGGCGGAACCCGGAACGCGGTCGCAGGGGCAGCCCAGGACCGAAAGTGAAGCAAGTTCCGAGGAAGTGGAAAGACAGCGAGGGCCGTTTTGACAGGGGGTACTCACCGCGAAAAGGAGGTTGAACAAAAACAGGAGGTACTTTATAAACGACATCCCGCACGACACCATCTTGGCGGCTCTCGACGACTTGGGCGATTCGGAGACTCGCGCTTGCTTACTGAAAAGCAAGAAAGGACGGAGCAATCCGCTTCGAGGTGGAACCGCAACAAACAAAGCACGACGCGAAGGCAAGCCACGAATATCTCGTCTGCTGGGCAGCACAACACTCCGCGACCGCGATGCGACTGACTGACAGACGGACTGGCCGACGGGACTTGGAGTAGCCTTCCGCCGGGGGGACTACGTGCAAATTAAGGCGAACCGCTTCGGCCCGGCCGAGTGACTCGAAGCCACTTGCTCCGGAAAATCTTGCAGAAGCCCTCGCGTCTCGCCGAGCCGACACATCTGCTGGGAAAACCGGAGGGAAACCGAAAGGGAAGTCGCTGAAAGTGGGGACTATTTTCCGCGGCGGAGGCCGTGAGGCCCAGACGGGGCGGATGGGTGCCGAGCCGGCCCGACGCGGGGAAGGGAAGGGAATGGAAGGCAGGGCAGAAGGGGTGAGCGGCGTGGCGCGGGGGCGGGGGTGGGGTGGGGAGGGGAGGTCACATGAGGTTGACTCATTTGAAGCGGCTTCTTTGAAACGTCACAGAGTGCCATGCCGGTCGACGGACGCGGGACACACACCGCACACACACAACGTTAACCTGTGCACACGGCGAAAATCCCGAACGCCGGTACTCGTTGGTACTCGTTCCAACGAGCTGCATCCGGAGGCGGGAAGTGGCGGCTGGATTCCGCTCGGCGCTTTCGTCGCCTTGTCTCTCTCGCACTCACGGGCCATTCCGAAGCGGTGCGAGGACAGAAGACGAAAGCGGATTCCCATACCACAAGGCATCGCGGTCGCGGTCGGCGTACCGCAAGATGACAACACAAACGTGTCTGGAACGATTTCACCCGGACAGCCGGACAGCTGGCCGAAGTACACGCGTAATCCGACCACGAGGGAAGGCAACTTTGAACTTAGCCCTCCACGCAGTAGTAGTCACTTGGTCGTCAAATTCGCAGTCCACCCCTAGGTCCCTAGGGTGCGGGTGACTGTCGGAGAACCCCAACGGCAGCCTGCAGATTGATTCCGAGAGACGTTTACATCGCCCTGTCTCTCTCGCTCTCATAGGGCGTCCTGCAGGTGCGAGAGAGACAGACTCTGGCCGTGGCCCCACCTTGAAAGGGCATTGCAACTCGAGGTGACGGATGTTTGTTTGTTTGCCGACGGGCCGACACGACAGGGGGCATCGCCGGTCGGAGTAACATTGTCCACGCGCCCTCCGCCCTCGTCGCTCTCATCGGTCTCATCGAGAGTCTCATCGAGAGGCCCCGCGATGAGATTGCCGGGAGGTGTCTCATTCCGAAAGGCGCTGTGTCCCTCTCGCACCCTTTGGCAATGCCCCATGAGTGCGAGAGAGAGGGGGGCCGAGTGAGCACCTTATCACGCGATAACCGGGTCTAGGTCCGTGGGATGGCATATCACGAAATTTTGCGGTGCCTTGGCATTGCCATGGCCACCATTCTGCCAGGGGTCTACTGTACAGACCGCCGACCAGGCACAGCGGGGACAGGCCCACCGAGTCCTCCATGCGTGCGTGTTGGTGACTGAGGACTATCGGAGGAAAAAGCATAACCAACGACGACGGCCGTCCCACCCAGGTCCCAGCAATGACCCTAGCCACCGTCTGTGCGCGCGGGGTCCTTATTGGTGGCGTGGACGGACTGGCTTTCCCACGGTGGTTGGCCCGTGGAGTTCGTGGTTCCCGTCCAAGTCTGCGAGTGTGTGAGAAAGGGGAAGCAGGACGGGCGGGGGGTGGCTACTAGTTGGCGAGGGGTGGCGACCCGCCCAAAACTTGCTTAAAGGCGTACCCATTGGGGGCGTGCCCATACGGGGCGTACCCCTGTACCCCTTACGCATCCCTACGGGACGCCCCATGAGTGCGACAGAGACAGAGCGGCCGAACGGTCCTTCGAAATCGCTGGGCAGCCCCTGCATCCGCGGGTGCTGCGGGCTATATTTAGCCCATTTCGGCATGGCGGCCGGGCCGGGCCGGGCCGCACTCTGCAGCTCCCCGTCCTGGAGAGGGGGGTGACCCACGACTGACTGATTAGCGGAGGTGACGCGTCGGGGCGTTAGTCACACTCACTGCCTGCCACTGCCTGCCAGTGCTGCGTCGCTACGCCCGCAATTCGAGGAGGCGCGGCCGTGCGGGCGGCTCCGGGCCCGCCCCGAGAGCCTCGTGAGGAAGACGCTCCAGGTCGATTCCCCGGCGTGACCCCGTCGCGGCGCCCACACCGTCGGCAGGCTCTAGGCGAGCTGCGCGGGGCCTTCCCTTCCAAGTCCAGCAGGCTGATCCCGAGAGTCGTTCCCGTCGCTCTGTCTCTCTCGCACCTATACGGGACGCCGCGTGAGCGCGAGAGAGACGGCGACGAAAACGACTCTCGGAATCAGTCTGCAGGTTGGCGGCGTGCCGGAGCGGGCCTTACGGACGGGCCCTTATCAGGCGCCGGCCTGCCACTGTAGGCTCGCCACTGTAGGCTCGCCACTGCAGGCCGGCCGAAGCGGGCTGCTTCCAAAGCGCGGCTCGTCCTCGCACGCGCATTCCAGGAGGCTCACTCTGTCTCTCTCGCACTCGTGGGGCGTCCCGCAAGGGTGCGAGAGAGACAGAGCAGTGCTCGCGGTCCGCCAGCGCGGTGCTGCACGCGGCCCGCGGACGAGGCGTGCACGGCCAAACCGAGCCAGCGTGCTGCCAGTGCCGCGCGGGGCGGTCGAAAGTTCGCAAGCAGGCGGTGCACTGTGGGCCGAAATTTTAGACGCGTTTTGAGCTCCAGTGTCGCTAAACAGGTCTCGAACCCAGTGTGTGCCCCCACCAATGGATTCCTCGTTCGGAGAGCAATCCATTGATGGGGTCACACGTTCGGTTCGAGTCCCATTTAGCGACTCTGGAGCTCAAAACGCGTCTAGAGTTTTCGCCGCCTGCGCCGGTCTTCTGGCAAATCCACTGTGCGGCGGGTCGTGGACAGCAAGCCGGCGCGGCCGCCCGGCCCGGCCCGGCACACGCTCCGGAAGTGGACGGAGGTGGGCGCGGTGGCGCGGGGCCCCGGCGCGAGCCAGGCGCGAGCCCAGCGTTGCCGGATCAGGGAAATCCCCGCCACGGTAGCCAACCAACAAAAATAAAACCGCATGAAATAAAAATAAGAGCGCGAAGCTTGAAGCCCGGCTGCCAGGCTGCTCCACCTTTTTTCCTACCAACCTTCCCGCTGGAGACACGGCCACGAGCCGCGCTGCTGTAATGACGTCTAAATAATTAGTGCCGAGACCGCCGAGACCAGCCAGCAGACTGATTCCGAGAGTCGCTTTCGTCGCTCTGTCTCCCTCGCACTCATGGGGCGTCCCGTACAGGTGCGAGAGAGACAGAGCGACGAAACGGATCGGAATCAGTCCACAGCCAGTGGTCAATATCTGTGGCCCCGCTCCGCTCGGCTCCGCTCCCCGCAAGGTCGCGTCCGATCCAGCCTGACTCACCCTGTGATAACGAGCATTAGTTTTTCCGACAACGATATCTATTTAGATAGGGATCACAAGTGCTATTTTGGACCAGCCGAGGATGAGCGCAAGAGTCGCTCGTTGAGACACGTTTGGGGACGACGCGCAGCGCAACGGAACTCAATTCGTTTGCTAGCGATCCCAAGCTCTTCCCAGGCGTACACTGTGAGAAAAAAGTACGGAAAAAGTACGGAACATGTCTGGTCAATAATTTGCCTGGACCGTCCGTACTTGCCAACTACGGAACGTTCCGTACCCATTTACATGGGTTCATATGGAGCAAGTACGGAACGTTCCGTACTTTTCTCCGTACCTCCGAACTATATTTTTCTGTACCATTTCCGTACAAAAGTACGGAATTTTTTACAGTGTATGTTGGTAGGAAGTGCGCTGATTTCGGGAACAACAACAACAACAAAAACCCCTTGGGAAGCGCCGCGCCAGCGAGGACCTCGGCGAGGACCCACTGCCGAGACGACGAGTCGTCTTTCTGGTCGATGTGGTCGTCATTTATTTACGGACGGCTCCGTGGACACGCGGGCGCACGCGGGGCCGTCCTAGGCCAGGCGAGGCCGCCGTCGACGCGGAGCACAAGGAGGACAGCAGCTGCATCTTCGCGCTATATACGCGACTCCTGGGGTCGTTTTCATCGCTCTGTCTCTCTCGCACCTATAACGGACGCCCCATGAGTGCGAGAGAGACAGAGCGACGAAGACGACTCTCGGAATCAGTCTCACATCCGAGCGCACGGTCGGATGCAGCCAGCAGGTCGATTCCACACTGTTTCGTCACAATCTCTCTCTCTTTCTCGCCACCACGGGTCCCAATTTATTTCTCGAACGCTCCAGTGTTTGCGTTTGCCAGGCCCCGCGGCTGCCGGCCCCGGCGAGGCGGGGCGAGGCGACCGCCGCGCAGATAAGATTATCCCACCGCTTTCAAAAACAACGCGTTTTTGGCCGGACGGCGATCGAACTGCAGTTTCTTTTTTGGCGTTCTGCGGAACGGCAGGACTCGCCTTGTGCATGCGCCGTGCGCCCCGAGCGCTTGAGCAAGTGCTTGACCCTGTCTGCAGATAAGACGAGGAGAACGCTTTGCACTTGCCACGCCGCGCCATCGCGAATCCGATGTCTCACAGTGGGCCAGAAGACCGGTGGAGGCGGCCAAAACTCTAGACGCGTTTTGAGCTCCAGAGTCGCTAAGCAGGACTCGAACCAAACGTGTGACCCCACCAATGGATTCCTCGTTCGGAGAGCAATCCATTGGTGTGGTCACACGTTCGGTTCGAGTCCCATTTAGCGACTCTGGAGCTCAAAACGCGTCTAGAGTTTTGGCCGCCTCCACCGGTCTTCTGGCCCACTGTGTGTCTGTTTTGACGCGAACGCTGCGAACGCGGTGGGAGTTCGTGTCGTAGCCGCGCCGCCAGGGGGCGTGCCGATCGCAGCGCGAGTCAGACAGAGACAGCAACATCGCGCCAGGAGGATCACTTCATTGCTGTCTCTCTCGCACTCACGGGGGCGTGCGAGAGAGACAGAGCGACCCTTCGGACTCAAGCGACAGCGAGACAGAGAGCCCCCGACGAACGGACGACGCAGCGCGCTCGACGCGGCCGAGTGAAGGGTGGCCTACCGCGCCTCGCGCAGGCGCTCCCCGGGACATAAGGGCGACGCCACGCCACCGGCCACGCCACTGCCGCGGCGCGCGGCGACTGTTGTGGTTGATACATCCATACATCGAGAGCCTGCGAACGACTTACCAGTGCTCTGATTTCAATCCCAAACTGCACAGTGATCGGAACGGAAGGGTGCCAGAGGCCACACCGCTTTGACTCTTGACAGAAAGATTTTGAGCGATTTTGAGGCGGGTCGCTCAAATGAAATTTCGGAGAGGCCTGTCTCTGTTTGCGTTCATGCAGGCTCAGCGGCCACAGAAGTAGCCGGTGTACCAACACTGGTGGTCCCGCGTGACCGCGTAGGAGGCTCCCTCCCGACCTCTGACAAAAGTGGGAAGTCGGGGGCCTGGCTTCCATCACTGGGTTGCGTCCGAGTACAGTTTATTGACTCCCAGCCGCCGCCTTTGCGTGATGCGTGGCAAGTGCACGGCCTGTCGCTTCGTCCCAAACAGTGGTCCTGTCTCTCTCGCACTCATGGAGCGCCGCCGAGGGCGCGAGAGAGATGGGCACACCGTTCGGAATCAAACTGCTGCATGGCCTGCGTGGCCTGCATGGCCCCCTCGGGGCGCGGGGGGCCGACGGGCCCACATGCAGCCTCCGTAGGCTGATCCCGAACAGTCTGTCTCCCTCGCACTCACGGAGTGGGCGCGTCGGGTGCGAGAGAGACAGCGGCCAGGCGGTGGTGGCGGTGGGGGACGTGTGGAGGGAGTAGTGCTCCGGTCCGGCCGGCCTCGCGCTCCGCTCGCCTCGCCTTCGCCTCGACTCGTCGACTTGCTTCGCTTCGCGTTGCTTCGCGTCTCGGATGGTTCTGTTCGAACGCCGCAGCTCGCCGCACGTCGCGCCGCCGAGACTCGCTCGCTCCGCCCGGCCCCGCCGCCCGAGTCGTGGAGTCGCCGAGCACGCCGAGCACCGCGCGCCGGGGAGCGGAGCAGAGCATGTGACAGTGTGACAGTGACACCGGGACCGACGCCGCCCGCCCAGCAGACGCACCGCCGCGACGCACCGCCGCCACGCAACACAGCAACACCGCCACGCGTTGCCTAGGCGACGGGGACGTCCGTTGTGCCGCGCAGGCCCCGGCCAGCCAGCCAGCCCAGGCCCCAGGCCCCCGGCCACAGGCCGCCGCACTACTGATTAGCAGTCCGCCCCGCGGACACCTTCCCGTGGACACCAGTGGAGCGTCGCCGCGCCGGCCGCCAACATGATGACCGCCAGCCTCAACGTCATCAAGTACCTGCTGTTCCTGTTCAACGTCCTGTTCGTGGTACGTGTGTGGTGGACGCGGCCGAGCGGGTGCCCGTCGTGGACAAGCGGCCAGGCGGCGTGGATCGCAGCGAGCCGCCCGGGGAGCCGTCCATATGGTTGCCACGGCTGCGTCGGGACGAGGCCGGCATGTCTGGCGGGATGCCCCCCCCCCCCCCCGCTGGCCGGGCGTACCGGGCCCCGCGGCCGCGGTCTCGTTCTTGACGGTGTGCTGTATCGCCGTGCCGCGTTTACGTGTGTGCGTGTATGTGTGTGTGCGCAAGTGTGTTTGTTTCCGGTGGTGCGACTTGACACTCGCCTTCCCCGCCAAATGACCACCTTCCGGAACGTTTCGTGAAGACCGAAAGAACTTGAAACTCGGCGTCGACGCGGCCCTGCCGAACGCTCTGCTTCGGTGGCCGAATGAGGCCAGAGCCGCGCTGCTGCGCGCTGCCCCCCTTTGCGCGAAACTTGCCAAGTCGATTAAAAGAGTAGAGTGAAATCATGAGAGAAGGGCGCCCTGGAGTCCCAGCTTTTTCGGGCCGGGACGCCGCCTGGCCGAGGTTTGCACCACTTTGCGGCTAAACGGCTCATCGCACAACATTTCTGACTTGCTCAGAAGATTCAGGAAGGTTTTTTACGTGCCCCGGCGTCTTTCCTTTTTGATTTGGTCAACCGGGGACCGAACGCGGCGAGCCTGAAGGGCGGCAGTGTGGCGCGGCCGAGGGTCCGCAGCGGCTGCCTGCCTGATGGCTGGCCGCCGGCTACCCCCACCCTACCACTTGGGGAATATCTCGTGCCTTTTAAGAAGAAATAACGGTGAAAACGACACGTTGTCTTCGTCTAAGCGTGTAATATCACACCTAACACAAGTTTGAACCAAGAAATCGGTGTCTACTGGCCTGTAGCGGTAGGGTGGGGGTAGCCGGCGGCCAGCCATCAGGCAGCCAGCCGCTGCGGACCCTCGGCCGCGCCACTCTGCCGCCCTTCAGGCTCGCCGCGTTCGGTCCCCGGTTGACCAAATCAAAATGTAACGACGCCGGGGCACGTAAAAAACCTTCCTGAATCTTCTGAGCTAGTCAGAAATGTTGTGCGATGAGCCGCTTAGCCGCAAAGTGGTGCAAACCTCGGCCAGGCGGCGTCCCGGCCCGAAAAAGCTGGGACTCCAGGGCGCCCTTCTCTCATGGTGAAATGCGCGCGGTGTCGGCGCTGAGTCACACGCGAGCTTGACGCGTTCGACGCTCTTCACGCGGCGCCGACAGCGCCGTCAGCCAAACACACCTGCCCGACACCCGTCACACAGCGCCGCGAAGCCGCGAATCCCCAAGCCAGAGCCAGGACGCGATAAAGACAAGGCTTGTTCAAAAACGGCTTCACTTTCCTGGAAACTGCCGCTGCGCCCCAATCGTGCATGACCGTGTCCGCGCGCCGCGATTCCAAACAGCTTTCTGTCTCTCTCGCACCCGCGGGTTCTGCCGCCTGGGTGCGAGAGAGACAGAGCGACGGCTGCAGGTCGCTACGTGCCGACGACGTGTTGCCGCCGCGGCTCGCAACTGTGGGCCGCTCATTGCCGGTATTTGTTGCATAATAAGTCTGGAAGGCGGCTGGCTGGGCTAGCAGGCCTCGCGGCGTGCCAACCAGCGGCGGATCCAGAGCCGGCGAGTGAGGGGCGAAGCAGTGTGCGAATTGTGTCTGTTTGCCTACCTGCCAGGCGGCCGTCTAGAGGCTCAGGGGGGTCAATTGTCCCCCCTCCCCCCTGGATCCGCTCTTGGTGCGCGCGAGGCCGGCCTGTCGTTACCTGCCACCGCCAAGTCGCCGGAACGTCAGCGTGACGTCAAAATGGCTCCGCGGAGTCCGAGGTCGCAGTCGGCGCCGATGTGACGTCAGAGGGTGTCATTTTGTGGCGCGAGAAACGGCGTGTTTGTATTGCTCGGGTCCCGAATTTCCACTTATCGGCTCGTCCTGGTTTTGGCCGGGCCCTCAGCCCGTCAGCCCACATCGCGGCGCGTGCGCTCCAGTTTAGCGCGCCGCCACCATCGGGGCGCGCTCTGTCTCTCGCACACCTTCGGGAAGCGCCATGAGTGCGAGAGAGGCAGGCTGACGACGCTCTGGCGGCGCTGACGCAACGGCGATGTGGACGCGGACACGCCTGGCGGTGACAGAGAGAGGCACTGTTTCGCCTGATGCGGTTGGGCCGTTCGATTGCACGCAGATCGGATGATGCACTTGTAAGTGGGAGACAAAGGTTCCATTCACGGGGCCCCGCGTTGGGCATGGCCGGCATGGCGCAGCATGGCAGCAGGCCCCGGTCCAGCCTGACCCGTTAGTCGTCTGGGTGATTTGGAGGAGGGGGGGACCAGCGCGGCCGGTTTGGGGAAGTCCTTCCCCTCCCCGCTCCCCCGCCCACTCCCGACGAGTGCCCCTCCACGAGGCGCTGCGAGCACGCTCCTCCTCCGGAGCATGCCCGAGAAAAGCCCCGAAAATGCACGCGCACGGTAGGAGGCGGCACAGTGGCAGCAGATTGCGAGACGCCTCGTGAGTGCGAGAGAGACAGGGCGACGAAAACAGAGCTCCGTCTGCTGGCGGAGAGTGGCATGCTAGGAGGGATCATGAGGTGGGATGGCGGGGATCAGGGTACACAGAAGCCGGTGCCGCTCGCTGAAGGAAAAGTCCGACCTCGGTCGCGTTTTGTTTGAATTCGGCAGTCGCGGTTCGCAACAACAGCGAGACTTGACAAAGGCTTTGGTCTTATCTGGACTGAAGCAAGGCGGCAGCGCGGAGCGGGCGGAGGTGGCGCGAGCGACCTTGGCCATGCCTTGGAGGCGCCGGACCCACGGGGTGCATGTGCTGGAGGCGAGTTCCCGTGCTGTGACAGGGACAGTCCTGGCGACCTGGCTCCGAGCGGCCCAAAGTGCAGCCCTTGTAAGGATGCGCGGGGGTGGGGGTGGCAGGGCGGGCAGGGCTGGCAGGGCCGAGGGGGGCGGTGACCGTGCGCCGGGCCCTGACCCGGGCCAACAGGCTCGCCAACGCCACGTCAATAAGGCCAGCAACAAGGAGCGTCCGAGGGGGAAACAACTAGCCAAAACAAAATGTACACTTACAATTAAAATTTCAAAACATTTCGAAAATTTTGAAATTTTTTAAAAATTTCAAAAAACTTAGATATAAAATGAATTTTTTTCAGAGAAATTTAGTCTTAAAACCCCTCAAAAATTTCAACAAATGTCGAAAACTTCTGGAAAGAGTACACAAATTTTAAGTTGTTCCCCCGAGCGCGCCATGCTTGCCAACACGAAACCTCCCCCGCCACAATCAGATTCCGCGTGTCGTCGTTTTACTAAGTTTCCCCCTTCTGCCTGCAGATAACCGGCATCGTGCTGCTCGCCATCGGCGCCACCATCAAGGCGGTGTACATGGGCTACCATGTCTTCCTGGACGACAGGTACTTCTCGGCGCCCAACCTGCTCATCGCCGTCGGCCTCATCATCCTGCTCGTGTCTTTCCTGGGCTGCTGCGGTGCCGTCAAGGAGAACCACTGCATGATCGTGTCGGTGAGTCAGCGCGGGGTATCGTCGTGGTGGGTGTGGCACCGGTGTGCTGTCACTCGTGCCTGGGGTAGAGACGGCTTAAATTTTCTGTCACTTCTCTTCAAAAATTCTATTTTGACCCGCAGTACATCGCCCTGCTGATCCTCATCTTCATCCTGGAGCTGTCCGCCGGCATCGCGGGCTACGTGTGCAGGGACGCCGCCAAGGACGTGCTGACTCAAAAGCTGGGCGAGAGCATGCTCAATTACGGCAAGAACGACACCGTCGTCACCGCCCTCTGGGACCTCATGCAGAGAACCGTGAGTGATCCGCAGCGACGTTCTCGCCTCAAATCAGTCTCCCGAGCTGTCGATGTGGATTCTCACCCTCGCCTTCTCACGCCCACAGTTCGAGTGCTGCGGCGTTAACGACCCCCAGGACTGGATAACTCTGGCCAAGATGTCCCAGAACACGACGGTGCCGCAGTCCTGCTGCGGCCCTGCCTCGGGCTTCGAACCCTTCACGTGCAGCGCCGAGTCCAACCCGCCACGCTTCAAGGACGGCTGCACCACCAAGTTCGGCGAGTTCGTCAGAGACAAGGCTGTCGTCATCGGCGGCGCCGGCATCACCATCGCGCTCATCCAGGTGCGGAGACGTTTCGGTTTAGGTGGTTTGAGGCGTGCCTTGACGCGTTTTGAGCTCCAGAGTCGCTAAATGAGGCTCGAACCGAACGTGTGACCCCACCAATGGATTACTCTCCGAACGAGCAATCCATTGCTGGGGTCACACGTTCGGTTCGAGTCCTGTTTAGCGACTCTGGAGCTCAAAATGCTTCTAGAGTTTTGGCCGCCTCCACCGGTCTTCTGGCCCACTGTGCCGCGTTGCCTACCCTGCCTCCGTAAGGGGCCATGCCGCCTGGCGGGTAGGCAACCCAGACGCAGGCCTGTTCGGCAGTACTGCCTACGCTGCCATGCGATTGCGATTGCGATTAACGGCTGGACCACAAGTGCTTACGGGCTAGACCGCAACTGATCGTATAGCATTTCGGGAGGGTCGATGCCACAACAGGGCTGCATGCGGGTTGCCTACCAACCAGGCTTGGTGTCAGGTTAGGTTAGGTGTCACCTAATGGGTGACTCGCATTCGACGCCGTCCGCTCCTGCCTAGGAGCGCGCTGGCTTCGCCGCTATAGATCGCAACAGAGCGACTTTCCGAGCGGCTCGGACGACCACTGACTTGGCCTGCCCGATTCCATAGGCAAGATAAAGCGCCCGGATGGGCCTGGCTTTATTTCCGGTCACGGGGTCAAACGCACGTGCTGCGCTCTTGCGGCGACTTTTATTTGTAAACACGGCTTGCGATAACCGCGCGCAGCTCGCACGATGCCCGGGGACGGGGACGTGTGTCGAGTATTTACCCGGACATTTTTGTTGTTTGTGTTTTGTCTGTCGAGCCGGGGCAGTGCGGGGCACTGACCGCACAGGACAGCGGCCAAGATTACGGAAACGGCTGAAAAATTAAATTCACCGCGCTGTGTATTTTTGCGACAAAGCGTTTTCAGAACAATGGATTCGTGAGAAATTTGTATTGAACCATGTACTGACGTGACCCTTTTGCTTTATTTTGCAGCTCGTCGGCATCCTGATGGCCTGCAGACTGGCGTCCGCGATGCGGCGGGCCGTGAGCGAGCTGACCCCCATGTAGAGGCTGCCCGGCCGGCCCCGGGTGGACGGACTCTGCCTCTTTTTGTCGGACTACTGCAATGACTCATGTTCCTAAGATGTAAGGATGGTTCGTTTTCTATGTCAAAGGCGGGGGTACTTTTAATGTTCAAAAACGATAGACTGGTAAATAGTGTTTATAAACTGTGATTCGTAACTTAGGCGCATTGTGCCATAGTCCAATCGAAGTGAACTTTCGAGAGGGGGGTGGGGTGGGGTGAATGAGACGATGGATGTTTTAATTTGCTGGCACAAGAGAAGTATCAAAATTACGTCTTCCTAACTTGTTTTTACTGTTTTGAATTTTGCCTCTGTCGAGATATTCATCCTGTATGTATTTCATCGTCCTCAGTACATAATCAATCAATATCCTAGACTCCACTGCTAAGTGACAACTTACTTGGTTACTTTTACATTTTTAATATTTATTTTAGAACAGGTGTATGCGAACCTGATCAAAGTCAGCACTTGATGTATACAATTTAAAGTCATTTTTACCGTTCTCGTGGTTGTGGTTGTGCTGTTGAAGATATTTTTTTTCTGAATGAGAAAGGTGTAAATGTAATAAATTAAATTAAGAACCACACGTGTCTTTCTCAATACTTCCCGCTTGCCTAGTCGGCAAAGACATCTTTTTCTTGGAGAACGCTTACCGCGGAGGTTGTTCGACACGTGGCTGGCAACGTGCGCGGATATGGTGAGACTGGATGGCAGCCGCCGTGGCTCAGGCAACCCAACGTGCACACCTGTTCGGCGCACGGCGTGCGTTCGCTGTCTCCCTCGCACCCCCACGGGCCGCGCCGTGAGTGCGAGAGAGACGGAGCCACGACGACGCAAGGTGCGCCGCGGAGCTGGTGGCTGGTTGAGCAACGCGGCGTCGTCCTTATCGGCTGCTGAGAGCGGCAGAGGGACTGTACTGCCCGTCGGCGTGCCGTCCTGCGCCAAAAAGGCAAAAAGACGACTTTGACGGAATATCGGCGTGAGGTCGGCGAGAACGTCGCACCGCGGCGCAGTAGGAGTTGCCAAGGGGTGATAAATCAGTGCAGGTGGAGTCACCTGGTTCGGCGAGCCGTCTGGAAGGTGACGAACGACCCCAAGGCCGAGGAGGATGTCACAGTGTACTCCCCCACCCACTGGTCTCGCATGAGGTCTGCAGATTTCGAAGGGAGGACTGGGACGGGTTGGACCTGGTGGCAGGACACTCCACCCCAGAAGCAGAAACTGGCTTCAGCCGGTGTCGAGCCACCTGAACCAGGCCGGGCTGGGCCGGGCTCAGACAGCGATCGGGCTTTGCGAAGCTGCCGCCTGATTATCAGCTCGCTATCTGTTATCAGCAGACTCATTCCGAACGGCGCCCGCGTCGCTCTGTCTCCCTCGCACTCGCGTGGCGTGCCGCAGGGCTGCGAGAGAGACGGAGCGACGACGGCGGGGCGCGGCGGCAGCAGCACCGGACGCACCGCGCCGCGTCGCCGTCGGCACCAGACGGCAGCGTCGCGACGTCGCGACGCCCAAATCATTAGCATGTCGGACGCAACGAGCGGCGAGGGCGTCCTCAGTCCCTGCCCAGCCCCGGCCAGCGGAAAGGAAAAGCGAAAAGAAAACCGCGGGAAAATAAACCCAAACTGCGGCGGGGTGGGGCGGGGTGACCTTTGAACCACGCTAATGGCCGGGCCGCCAAACCGCTGAAATTAAAGCTGAAGCCGAAATCAGCGGAGCGGCGTCACCGGGCGGAAAGTACAGTACAGGGCGCGCAGGGCGCGCAGCGCAGCCAGATGCACCCGCTAGGCCCTCGATAAGGCGACATCTGCAACGGCCTAGCACGCCCAGCCGAGCCCAGCCCAGCGAATACACACGGCGCTTCTGCGCCGCGCGAGACAGCGGATTTCATTCATTTCATTCGGGAGACCCCCTCCCCCTTGACACTTCACCAGGACCAGGTGATTCGGGACAACCGTGTGTTGTTGCATTTCTTGGTACAAGTCCCGTGGCCAAGGGGAAGCAGGCTGATTCCGAACAGTGCCATCCTCGCTCTGTCTCTCTCGCACTCGCAGGGCGTCCCCTAGGGGTGCGAGAGAGACAGAGCTAGCTGGCAGCCCCCACACTGTGGGGCCCACAGCCCCCGCGCGGCACGTCGGCCGCACGTGTGCCGTGTCTCCCACCGGAACCCCGACGGCTTGCTCGACGCCGGCCGCCTAGACGCCGAGTGGCACCGAGGTTCCCCGCGGTCCCAGCGACTCCGAGCGTGGCTGCTCTTAACGTGTCACTATCAGCGGGCGTCGCGACGCCGCGGTGCGTCGCACCAAGGTCGGCGTCGTCGTCGGCGTCGCGTCGGCGCGGCGACACGTCGGGCCAGCGCCGCGGCACAGGGCCTAGCCGCGCGGCCTGGCGCAGCCTGGTGGCGCGGCGCGAAAAAACAGCGATAAAACAATAAGTACCAGCAGGCGGCGCGCGACCAGAGTGAGCAGAGGCCCCGGCCCGGCAGCAACAGAGCGAGCCAAGCGTTTGTTGTGATATCCTGCCCCGTCCTCGTCCACCGCCGCGAAGCCGCGAACCGCCAAGCACCACCATGGCGCACCTCAACAACGACCTGGGCATCGGCCTGCAGTGCATCAAGTACCTGCTGGTGGCCTTCAACTTCCTCTTCGCGGTAGGTGGCTGCTGCGCTGCTTCGCCAGGACTCCGCGGTGCCGCCGGGCAGCCCAGACCGCGCGGGCACTCTCGATGACACTCGACTCATTGTTGAGAAGGTCGAGAAGGGAAGTTCGTTCTGCGACCTCCCCGGAAATGCCGAGCCTGCTGCCTGACGCAGGGCGACGTGAAACGGTCGCAGTCCGCGCGGCGAAGTGCAAACCGACGAGTGCAATCTACACATATATACACACAGCTGCGCGATTCCCCGTCACGACGGGTAGGGCCGAGGCGATGCAAGGCGTGGCTTAGGCGCGGCCCCCGGGACGGGACCCTCGAAAGGGCGAGGCGGATGTTGTCAACCTGCAGGGGCGGTCCGTAAGCGCGTGGCCGAGCGCGCGTGGCTCGCTCGTGGAGCGTGGAGACACACACTCACACACCAACACATACACACTCACACACCAACACATACACACTCACACACTCTAGCACTTCGTGGCCGTGACCAAACGTGCGCTACCTTTCCCCAAACACGCCGGGTAGGCCACAGCCTTCGGCCCGAGCCGCTTCGTGGGCCGAGTCATCGAGTCCTTCGCGCAGGACTCTTGTCGCTGGGTTCCAGATCTCTTTATCAGTTCCTTATCACCCGAGCCGGGCCAGGCGAGCCGGGCGTTACGGTTGGAATCAGGATCGACACTTTCGCGTTTCATGGGGGTTCCGCATGGTTTTGAGAGGGCTTATCGGGCAGGGTCACTAGCGCAGCGGCCAGGTAGCAGCCTCACCGCCTCACCCCGAAGGCCGAGGGGCTGAGGTGGTGGTGGGATAATCTAACGCCTCTCGCGAATATTCCTGTTCCTGTTATGCCGATACCCACAATGTTGTAGCCTTGGAGGACTCAAGCCTTAGCATCTTCATACTTTCGCGTGGTCGGTTGGGGGGGGGGGGGGGGGGGGGGAGAGAGAGGACTGTGCCGGCCGCCCTCTGCCACTGTCACCTGCAAACCCCGTCACCCTCCTCCACCCGGTTGCAGCTGAGCGGCACCCTGCTGGTGCTGACCTCCATGATGGTGGCCGGCCCCCTGTCCGAGCTCAAGCCGCTCCTGGACAGCCACTTCCTGTACCCGGGCGTGTTCCTGGGCGTGGTGGGCGGCGCCGTGATCGCCGTGTCCTGCTGCGGCATCTGGGGCGCCCTCAAGCAGAGCACCGCGCTCATCTCCTTGGTAAGATAAGGAAACGAACAAAGCTTTCGACGTCCGGACAGTCCTGACTCTCTCGCGCTCGAGGGGCGTTGCCTCGGGGTGTGAGAGAGGCAGGGTGACGGACTACGCTGCCTTCGCCACGACGCAAGTTGACCCTTTTCCCCCGCAGTTCTCGTTCCTGCTGAGCATCCTCCTGCTCCTCGAGCTCGGCGTCGGCTTGTCCGCCTTCGTGCTCCAGGACGGCCTCCGCAACGCGCTGCGCGACCGCATGTTCTTTGGGATCAGCGCGTACAACGGGGACCCCATGATGCAGCGCGCCGTGGACCGCATGCAGACAGGGGTACGTCTCGTTCGGGACCTCCATCTCCGGGACGCGAGCCTAAGCCAACTTTACCACGTGCGGCCGTTGTTTTGTTGTCACAGCTCCAGTGCTGCGGCGCGGAGGGGCCTGCGGACTGGGAGGAGGTCATCCGGAACACCACCCTGCCGCGTTCCTGCTGCACCAGCCACCCGACCATCACCGACTGCACGGCAGACCAGATCTTGAACATCGTGCCCGGCTGCATCCCCGAGATGGGCATCTTCGTCACCAGGAGCTCGGCGTTCATCGCTTCTACCGCTGTGGTCACCGCGTTCACTCAGGTGCGTCGCGCCGCTCAACGAAACACCATTTCAAATCTGCCGCCAGTAGGACTCGCCACTGCCCACTGCGCGCGCGCGAGCCGAACATAGCCGAACAAGCGCCAAGCGCCTCGGCTCGCCTTCGGGTCCACTCGGGCCGCTTCGGGTTCGGGAATCGTCCTGCGGCGTGGCGGGGCGCGGCGCGGCGCCGTGTCGCGCTGGCAGCGTTGCCGCTTGAAGAGGCGTCTTTCGATCCCCCTCCCTCAAGCGGTCCCATGGTGTAATGGTTAGCACTCTGGACTTTGAATCCAGCGATCCGAGTTCAAATCTCGGTGGGACCTGGTCTTCGATCACCTTTTTACTACCTTGTGGCTAATGTCATTTGGACTCGGGGACCTTCAACAACCTTAGTAATTCTTTTAATTCATTTTTGTAACTTGGTAGCATGCTTACAAAAATGCTGCGCTCCTGAAACAACTAAATCAAAATAACTAATGAATATTGGAAAACTAGGATTCTAGTCAAAATTAACATGAGTTACTAATTTCTGATTTCAGTTCCTTGGAGTGCTGTTTGCCTGCACTTTGGGTCGCTCTATTCGACAACAAAAGACACTGCAAGAGATGCGCCGTGTGCAACTGCGCAACAACCTCGTCAACTCATATTCTCCTCTTGAGACAAAACCCATGCCCCCAATAACCATTACCTATTAGATGTCTACCTTAATAAACACACATATGTAAGATAATCACTTCCTTTTGTAAAATAAATGCTAATTTAACAGATGCAAGTCTAATATGAAATTGTATTAAAAAATGAGTGTGGTGCACCATGAATTGGAACGTAAGTTCGTATCTACCACAATGAGATTTGAGCTTTAGAAAAATGTGAAATTTTTAGGAATGATAGTAACATAAAAATAAAAAGGCGGTTCAAGAGAATTTTTGGTTTAGTTAAAAAGGAAAAGCCAATGCAAAGATAAGACCATCATCTTTATCAAGTTTGGTATATTTTTAAAATAATTGTAAATTCCAAGTTAATTGTTGATACAAACAGAACAGAACCACAATAAATCACAGTAGAATGAAAGACTTAATTTTCCTATCCAGAAGATAACAAGTTTTGATTTCTGACACTTTGATGGTCCCAGAAATTTTTTCCTGCCTTCAAAACAGCCTCACTCTCATTGCACAGCTGTCCTCCAGGTAAAAAGGGAGGTGTAAATTCTCTGTACGCTATGCATGTTCTTCTACCATGGACATCTTCACGTAGCACACGATGTTCCCAGTCATATCGTGGAGAACCATAAATTACCAAGAGTGACCTCCTAGGCATAGGGATTCGGACAACTATGTCCTTGGGGATGGAGCGAGGAAATTCATCTCCAAGAAGATTGTTTGAGCAATTTGTTCCAGGAATTTCTCCATTGGCTAATGCTTTGATTTGCTTGTTGACAACTTCACCCTGATTGTTCAAAATTCGGTTGTAAGTTGATACTAAAGGTAAATTGTAACGCCACTCCTCGCCATTGTATGGGGTCATAGTCAACACAGAATCAGAAAGTAAGTTGACAGTTACTATCCTCTCACCCCAAACCCAACAATCATCAATATGTCGATCAATGGATGCCCCTTTACTGGCTTCATACTCAAGGGAACACTGTTCAATTGTGAAATACCCCTGGAACAGATGAGAAAGCATGAATACCAGAGAAAGAGAGGTAAAGATTGACAATCAACAGAACACCATGGTACCTCAAGTTGTGGCACATCTTGAAATTTATCTTGCACAAACTTTGAAAAGGATGGAAAGCCGTTGAAATCTCCTAGCTTCATTTTCTTTTTCTTAAAATTGCATTTGGGCCCAAAGTTCTGTTTCGAGATAAGATGGTCAAAGATAACGAAGAACAGAGTTGTTAATTTACTCTTAGACTTCTCATTTTAAAAAGCGAAGTACCTGTTTTCTGCGTCCACTCTGAGAAGCATCCCACGGCATTTCATCCATACCAACTATTAGTTGGTTTTCCTCTTCTACTGAAAGCCAATCCATCTTTAAAGTAAAACAAACATTTGAATGAGGATACAAGACCAAAGTAAAATAAAAGTAAAGTAACACAGAACAGATACCAACCTCAATGAAAACTCCTGGATAATCAATTGGTTCTCCTTCATGATTAGGATGAAGGCGATACAAATTCATATCCCATCCAGGCCAAGCTTTTTGACACCATGGACAAAAGACATAGGATTTTTCCCTCTGAAAATATTATAAAACAGTTAACAGAGCACTAATTATTTAACATGGACATGGCTGATGGAGCCCTGAGTAAGGAGTGTCATTTTTAGGACAACAACTTCGGAGGGGTACAGGACAGCATGTCATAGTTGATCCAAATCTATTATCTGGCCAACAAAGCATGGGTTGGCATTGTTGGGGAATGCCACAAAAGCTTGCGGGAGGTGACCAGGGCATAAGCATGTTAGTTATTGCTGCGGGCCATGAAGGATAACCATGCCGGTGGCTGTACTGCTGTTTTCCAACGGGCATCCACCTCTGAGGATGAACCACTATCAAGGCATTTGTTTCCGTGGAACGTAAATGGTCTTCCCACCTATAGGGTCGTTCACCACCCCAGCTCAAGGGATCTGGGTACAATTTGTGAGGGTCTTGCCAATCTCTTAATGAGTCTCTGCGCTTTCTCCTGTAGCGGCTTGAGTACACCCCATTTTTATTTTGACCACCAAGCTCTCCTTTACCACCCCCAAATGAGGCACCACCCTGCTGGCCACCACCTCTTGAGTCAAAGCCATGGGCTCCATCAAATCCAGCGATCCCATACGGACCCCCATATGCAGCACCACCTGAAGTGGCATTTGCAGCACCATATCCCGATCCAAATGGAAGATTTGCATTTTGAGCATCCCTCTCTCCAGTTCCTGCTGTTCCAGTTTGTCGGCCTTGAATAGCATGATAATAATCGGCAGCAGATTGTGGAGGCAAAGTTTCGCACACGCAGCTACACTGGCAAGGTTGAGCGCTGCCCTTCGACTGTGGCGTCCCGACAACATCAACTTGTGTTCCAGAATCTAATGGTGGAGCTTGGGTTTCAGTTTGAGCTATTCTGGGTTCTGATGGTATTCTACTAGCCCAGGTGAAAACATGGCGTTTGTTGCCCGAGTCTGCTCTTGTATCCAGGGCAGTACCCAGATCAGCACTTGAAGCAATGCAGACACAATCGTTGATTGAAACTTGCAATCCAACCCTTCCAATTCCCCGCTTGGGATGAGTGGCTGAAACACTTTGAAGTCCAATAGCTGTTTTGGGACGGTGAGTCCGGTGTAACTTCTGCATGAACTCCATTTCCACTTCAGAAGCATTTGTTCCATCCTTCCCTATTTCTAGGTTGGGCTTGGTAGAAGCCCTTCTGTGTCGACTGGATACAGCATCGAGTTTGCTTGGATGGCGTATGTAAAATCTGGAGGGCTGGGGTTGGCCAAGCACTAAATGCACGTTTCTCTCTGGCTCCTCTCCCATACCAGAACTGTCACCAAAGAGTGACTGAAAAATATTATTGGAGGAATGATCAGCCCACCGATGTTTTTGATGCCATTGTTCTGTACCTTTCCTTGAGATAGTAGCCGAACTTGAAGTCATGGGAGTAGATGTATGTCGGTATGGGGCGGAGCTTGGTCTTTCACATGGTTTTTCATCAGGCACATTAGTGTTACTCAAGGGGTAGTGTGTATCAGAGAAATCAAAGTCTTTTGGCATATCTATGGGCCCAGTGCAATAGCTAATACGCTGTTCAGCGCACCTCTCTGAATAGCTCTGGTAAGATTCTCTTCGAGATGGGCGAGGTGGAAGACATGACTTCAATCCGGAAACATGGCCCTGGGTCAACAACAGTACATGGCACAGGTGGCAACAACACCAACAATTATCAATTATCAACAATAAAGAGACAGAGCAGTTAGACCTAGGCAAGGGGTACAAATGGCCTCAGCAAAAGGCGGCAGCCAGGGCCGCAACAGCCTAACATTAAAATAGGTTTTGACGAAAAACGCTAATGTAGGGCGTCTTAGGAATGACTGGCTTGTTGAGAATCACGATGACAACAAATAACATAAACATATTCTGAATAGGCGACGGTTCAAATACCTGGATGTCATTGGTGTCGTCATGTAGCAAACCATATTCAGCCTCACATGTGATGCAAGTTCGCCTTCCCTTGCACCCACAAGGTCGAGGTTTGTCCATGGTTTATGGACAATTATTTATCATAATAAATTTTTAGAGGCGGTAAGCTGTTTTTCTTCAGATAGGAAAATGCGCGTAGGTTATGTTTTCGTGGTTCTGTTCTCTTTTCTGCTACCGGTAACTGTCCATCTGGAAGGCGCAGGGCAGACCAGACAGCACACGCGGTCTGCCAAGTTAGTGTTGTTTTTGAAACAAATTTTGTATATTCCTTGTGGTAGCAGATTTGGTTTACCAGAAACGGATTGCGATAAGATATAAATTGGATCGAGTGCCTAATTTCACTTCGTAAGTCCAAGTTACTGTTGTTATTGTGGTATGTTCCAGGCTATATCCAGCTATCTAACCTTACCAAAACATGGTGTTGGTGTGTGATGCACTTGTTACTTTTTGGATCAGAATGTCTGTGGCTTCATAGTTGCCACTAGAGCATTTTTTTCCAGTTGGTTGGTTTTATGGGTAGCCTTGTAAGGTTCGGAAGCAATTTATTTTTATTTTGACTATTCTTTATTACCGTCAATTTATTTGATTTTCAGATAGTTTTGCCAACATGGCTACATCTTTGGCTGCTCAGCTCCAAAAGCTCCGAGCACCTCAAACTTCTATTCTTCATCAAGACAAGAAAAGAGCATCTCTCCTCTTCGATCCGAAGGAAGCATCTAATTATGATCGTCAAACTATCTATGAACTGGGTTTGTAATTTATATTGCAGTGTTTCTGTCTTTTCCTCCTCAGAGGCATGATAGTATTTCAAATATCCATGTTCGGTTTATATGTGCAGGAGTTGCGGGCCTGGAGGAACTTAAAACACTAAACGCCAGGTTTTCAGAGTTTGAATCTTCACTCTTTGATGTGTCTTCTCTTTCATTTGAACGTGCCGTTCAATCTAAGGAGGCAAATAGAAAACTTGATAAAAGTATCAGAAAATTTTTCTATCTTTTATCTCCATATTTCTTATTGAAGCCTGCCCACAAATCTTTAGAATGGCTTGTTCAAAGGTAAAACACAGCGCCAAATATTCAAAGGGTTTTCTTGTAAAGGTATTTTACAGGATGAATAAAAAACCTGCTGATTTGCAGGTTCCATGTTCATGAGTACAATATTGATGACCTCCTTATGCTGGCACTTCCTTATCATGAGTCACGCATTTTCATCCGAGTTGTGCAGCTGGTGGATGTTTCTTCTGAGACTAGTCGTTGGCACTGGTTGCTGTCAATGCAGAAGAAAGGGATACCCCTGAGTAAAAGGACTCTATTGAACCACATTTCAACAGCTACACATTTTCTTCGTTTACTATGTGATACAACAGTGGGTGCTGTAAAGGTAAATGTCAAAACTTAGGGATTATTTTGCTGTTGTTTTGAAAGTCCTCTCATCCTTTTAACTTCCTTCTCTCAGGAACATGGAGCATATGCTGGTGTTTTGTCAACTTTATTTGGGTTCTACAGCACCACTATACTGGGGATGTTTGAAAGAGGCCGACGTGGTGCTACAGAACTTCAAATGGCCACTATTATTGATGCCTTACAACGTGGTCTGGGGTCACCCGTCCTCGATTTTGCTGCTGCTTCATACATCATATTGGGCCGTCTTGTTGCCACAACTTCACTTGCAACTGATGTTCTTGAGCGACTTGTCGACAGAATCACAAAGGTATTGTTAAACATCTAATAATTTGTGTTTACTTATATTATAAAACAATTTTTACTATTTGATTAGCTCATTACGTTTATTATCTATTTATAATGTTCTTTTTTTTTCTTTTAAAGGCAAATCACATTGAACTTCAATTAGAAAAGGCAATGCTGCTTGTACTCATATACCAAAGTCAAAAGCAAAATGTGACAAATATCCCATTTCAATCTTTAACACGTCTTGCATCAGATAAAGGCACCGCTGCCACTTTTGGTCAGTTAATATCAAAAGGTTATGATGTCGTGCCATTCCTTGTGCCTTTAATGCGAGATGCCATTGAAGTCATTAAGACTCAAATTGTTGGTTGTACGGCCAATTTGAAAATTTTGGTTGAGAATGTGTTGAATGAGGTACATTTCACAGAGAGTGGAGCAGAATCTGTTGTCAGGTTCGTGTCGTCTTCAAATGTATAGATTTCTCAATAATGTTTGTTTTACATACCTTAATTTTAAAAATTCTTTTTTACAGAATGTTTATTGAATCATATGATGTTTCTGCTTTAGAAGAGGCAACAGTACCTCTGGTAGCCACTAGTAAAATCAATAGCGCTGAAGAAGTTACTCAGTGGTATGCAAAAATGCTGAATCAATTGGAGAGATCATACCCCACTGTTTTTGACAAGGCAGTTGGTAGAGCATTGAAGGGGCTTGGTGTTGCTCCATCTGCAGCTGCCAATTTGAAACGAATGCTTGGTTTTGAGCTTCAATTAGACTTGTTTGATAAACTGCATCACCATAAGAGTGAAGTTCGAGCAGAGGCTTTGATGTGTCTTTCTAAACAATATACAAGCCTTAAGGTACTTTATGTCTATGTTTTTCTTCTTTACAAAATTTAATGTAACATATTCATTGACTAATTCCCCTCTTTTGTTTAGGAAAAAGATGAACAGACTTTGAAAGACTCTCTGTTTGACTTGCTGGGTGATGACAATCCTAGTGTTGTGTTAGCATCTTTGTCATTTCCTGCAAAAGTACTCCAGAGGATACTTTCCCCTTCAACACTTAATTCAAGACTTGTCAGAATTCTTCAAAATCGCATTCCAAAAGAAAATTCTGATAGTAAATGGGTTCAGGTCATCCAAAGAGTTATCTCAACCTTGACTGAAGCTGATATAGAAGATCCTATCCAAGAAACAGAAAGCTTGATTGCCCTTATGCCCCACATGTTGTTAAATGGAAATTGCTTGAAATGGGTCCTGAAATCGTCCTTTGGATCTCGAAATAGCTTCTTAAAAATGTTGAAATCAGGTGAGTATTTGATCTGAATCATCTTTGTATCATCTGTAGTTTCTGATTGATAAACCTAATAATTTTTCGGGAATAGGAGGCAAGCAGGCAACAGAGGGAGCATTGCTTCAGATGATTTCCAATGCGAGTGGAGTTTCCCCCATCCAATCTGTCCTGAACTATGGCGAGAAGTTTTTAAAGGAACGGTCAAATCCAAAAGAGTTGCTGGAACAACAGTTTTGCCTTCTCCTCTTGCTTGGTGCAAGCTTGCCACAAGGTTTATCTACAGAACAAAGCTTGCAAGCCCTCCAGTTGGCAGTCCGGCTTATGGAAGGACATGAGGTATATTGGCTTGACATCTGATTGATTATACAAAATCAAAAGAAGTCGATTTAAAAAAATTGTGGCTTACCTTTCTTTTTTATTTGTTAAAAAATTTATGACTTAAATTTCTTTTCTTTTTTGTAGGTTGCTGTAGGTGTTGGAAATCTCCTATCCATCCATAGTCTCAGTCATTGTCTGTCCCGTTGTGCAGAAGGCTATTTACCTGTAGAAGGGTATCTGCATGTTGTTAAAAAAATAATTGTGCTAACAAAGCTTAATATATCATTTGATAATGGACTATGGCTTGACATGGAGGGACAGTCTCCTGCAGTTATGCTATTGGTTCAGATTTACTGTGTGCTCTCTGAGGGATGTGCCTCAGAAAACAGTGAAGTTCAGTCCGCGTATGTCTCCACTCTTCAATTGTTTTTCAAGGTAAGCTCAGTTTTATGATTAATTTATGATAGTGAGTTTATCAGGAGGAATGAATGAAAGTTATCTGTATTTTTATTTTTCAGACTCACTTCAATTCAAATCAAAAGCAGGTGGAATTCCTTGCCAATTTCTGGTCTAGCCACAGAGTGGTTAATTGTTCCACAACTAATCGCAAGGGGCCATCTCTAGAAATTCAAGTACGCTCTTTGCGTTTGGGAGCTATTCTTCTGAGTAAATCCAAGAATACTCAATGGGTTGGAAATCTGAACTCAGGCAATATTGTCTTGCCTTCTCTGTTGATCTCCTTGTGCTGTCCCACACATTCAGTTCGTAAAGCCGCCATAAAGCTTGTGCGAGTTTTAGGGAACTGTGTTGCTGGGCAGGAATCCTATGGCTTCTTAATCCAACAAATTATAGGTTCCATTCCAGAAATAACTCTTGATTCAGAGTAAGTATAGCTAAGAAGGTTGTTGTCTTTTTGTTCTGTATTTCAAAATTCTAAATTGACAATATTCTAAATGATATTTTTAGGCAGCTGCAGTTGGTTCTTTATACATCCCTCTCACCAGACCCTATTGTACAAAAAATGTTACCTAAGGGTGTTAGTTCTAAAACTGCTTCTGAAGTGTTAAATGGCCTTCTTGAAATCGTATTATCCAAAACAACTCCTCCATATATTTCAGCAGGACTCCTTCATGTTTTAACATCAGTAAATTCAGAGGTATGCTCAGCAATTTCCCAATTTTTTAATTTAGAAAAAAAAATGGTACTGCTTGTGTGTTTATTTTATTGAACATTTCATTTATCTTCTTCTTTTGTTCCAAGGATATTTTAAGGAAGCTCTTACCACTGTTGGATGAAATTTTGACCAAGTGCAAAGGTTTACCATCTTTAACCACACACTTTTCCACTATTTTGTGCAATGTCTCTGGCCGTCTGGATGCCAGCACAGCACATTTATTTAAGTCAGATTCTTTGTGGACTGTAATAACAGAGCTATTGGCCAACTGGCGCACTGTTGTTTTGATTGGCGAAGATAGGAGGTCCTGTCCTGCAGAAATTGCTTGCAGTCAGGTACTGTTCAGTTTCTCCCTAGACCATACAACCTTTATTGTCATTTTTTGTTCATTCCTCTTACTCTTAATTTTTTTATAGGTGACTAGAGAGCTGTGGGATGCTTTACCCAAGCCTCAGGCCCCTATACAGCAAAAGTTGTTAACTTTATTAATATCTGCTGGTACAGAGTCAGAAAATCCTCTCGTTCTATCAGCGGTCGGAAAATGTGTCAAGCAGTTGTCAATTGATGCCTCCATTGTAGTAGCTGAATTGAACAAAATGAAGGAGGCGACTGTGGCTCCAACCAATGCTACCCAGAAAAGGCGACGTAGTGTTGTTGCCCCTCCCTCTCCACAAATACTGGAAATGAAAGAGTGGCGATGTGGAATCACCCTCTTAGAATTGCTGCAGAACAAGAAAAAATTGGCTAATGTTCAGCTCTTACTTCCTGTTCTGTTTGATTTATTGCACAAGTAAGTAATGAAAATTTCCTGTAAATAAATGTAGATTATAGTTTCAACTGTTTTGTATTGTACTTCTGTTTCTTTGTTTCACAGGTGTCTTTATTTTGAGGAGCAGGCTCCTGTGGAGTACACAAAACAACTGTTACTCTCGTGTATACTGCATTGCTGTCAAAAGTTGTCACCTGATGGAAAACCGATATCGACAGACATTGTACCTACCCAAGTTCTTGATGTTGAGGCTGTTGTCCACTGTGTTAGAGGCACTCAAAACCCTCAAACTCATCATCACGCTCTGCTCCTCCTGGCTCACATGGCAGCATTGGTACCAGAGCAGGTGTTGCTCAACATAATGGCCATTTTCACTTTCATGGGATCTCTAGTCCTTCGCCAGGATGATGCATATAGTTTCCAAATTATTACTAAAATAGTAGACACTATCATCCCGATTCTCATCAAGGTATGATCTGTTCAAAAGAATCATCCTTATTGATTGTGCTGGCTTATTAATTTGAATGATTGAAACGTTTTGCAGGCTAGTAACAGTGGCTCATTGTCTAACAGTGCAGCCTTACATCTGGACACCACAATCGCATCAGTCATGCGAGTATTTGTTGACGCCTTGCTCGACATTCCAGAGCACAGGCGCTTGTCTCTTTTCCACCGGCTGCTCACTACATTGGACCCTCAACAATACCTGTGGTTGTTCCTGTGTCTTGTCATGGAAAGTCACGCTGTGCATCATTCAGAATCAGCCAATGATAACAACAAGAAAACAAGAGGGGCTGTTGAAGCCCCAAAACGAATTGAAGTGGCTCTGCAAATTGTCACACAGTTTACTCCAGTTACTATTCTATCTAATTGTGTCAGGCTTCTACAATATATGCTATGCCTACCAGTTGAACCAGGTAGGATGGAAGTTACACAATGTGTATTTGCAATGATATTATGTTCTTATGTTGAGGCCTTTCTAAGTCTTCTTCTTTTTTTTTTTTTTTTTTGAAGGCGCTGAACACAGGAAACCTCTTTACAAGAAGTCACCTGCTGTTGAAAATTTGGAGAAGTTCAAAGTGAAATCTTTGTTTGATGTAAACAATCACACTCCCAAGCAGCTTCGTCATTACAAATATACTATTGTAACTTTCCTGTCAGCCTTGCTGTCTTCCCTACCATTTGTGAATCAGGTACTAGTCTAAAAAAAATTCTTCAGTCTTTAACCTTGTACTTTTATTGCCAGTTTTGTAAATTTAATCATGCTTGTGTTTGTCAAGATTACAAGCCTAGATGATGAAGGTACCGATGGATTAGTGTCAGTATACATGGAATTTCTAGAGGTACTTTTAGCCTTAATCCAAGTCTTTTCTCGACAATCTGAATTGTCCAATGGATCTCCTTCATTCAAATATTGGAGAGTTATGTTAGCACAAGCATATGACATCCTTGACAAGGTATGATCTTTATTGATGTGTTAAATCATTACTTTGATGTTTCATTTATTTTGAGTCATAATGAACATTTCATTTCCAGGTCAATGCCCTGTTGCCCAGTAAGCTTTTCCTCAACATTGTTGGTGGCCTCATGACAAATGAAATGCCTTCTCTGAGACGAAAGGCGATGGAATTGTTAAACAGTCGCCTGTCATCTAGCCAACGAGAAGCATTTATTTCATCCTGTGATAGCCAGGAGATATTAGCTTTACTGAATCCATTAGTGAATGTTGTCTCATCAATTGATGCTCTTCAAACAAGTGAACTCAATGAGGAGGTCTTTTTGAATCAACAGACTGCTTTGTTATCTATAAAATACCTAGCCAAATATCTTGCATATGAAAACTACAGTAGATTCAAACCAGTGAGTGTTATCCTTTACATTTGTATCTCAATCAGTTATTTTAAAGTTCATTTTTATTGATGTTTTTTTTTTTTAATTTATCTTTTCTTCCCTATAGCTTTTAGAACATATGACATCCCTCATACACAAGGGGCAGATGAAAAATAGCAATCTTTTAGCCAGTGTTGTACTGTGTGCTGCTGAGCTGTGCAGCTCTCTCCGGGCTCATGCTATTTCTTCGCTGCCTCTGCTCATGCCTGCATTTATCAAGCTGCTGGCCTCAGAAATAACTGAGGTTCCTGAAGTGGTCCAAGTGAGTTTGGCAGCATCCATGTTCAGAATAGTGGAGAGCCTTGCGCCCTTCATTAGTCCATACCTCCATCCTCTACTGGTGGAGCTTTGCGCACTGTCAGCGTCTCATTTCAAGGACGATGAAGAGCAGGGCCGAGTGGCTCAAATTTCCGTCAGACTGAAGAGTACTAGGTTTGTAACAACACACTATCCAATGCAGCCATTTGGTTTCATCAAATGTTCTTGTGATAACACACTTTCTCTCCTGCTACAGACAGAAAATTGCGTCCTCTATACCTACACGTGTATTGGTGCCGGCTGTGGAAGGTGCTTACAAGGATCTAGTCTCACGGAAGCAGCTGGATGGTATAGCCCCCTTAATGACTGTGCTGGCTGAAAGTTTTGCTGGACTTGTTAGTGCAGATTTGGTTGCACTGCAGAGCACTCTTACTGACTTTTTCCTAAGTGCTCTTCAGTTCCGATCTGTATGTGGTCCTGACGTATCTTCTGATCAAGTTGAAGACGTAGAAAGCAATGTTATAAAGGCCCTTGTAGCTTTTGTTTTAAAATTATCTGAAACATCATTCAGACCCTTGTATATGAAATTCTTTGACTGGGCCACACGCCTTAAGGAGGACAAAGAGCGAACCATCACATTCTACAAGTTAGTATTTTGGATGATTCTACCTTATAACTTCATAGCTTTTATTCTATTTTACATTTAAAAAATTTCTTTTTTCTTTAGGTTATCTTTTGGTTTTGCTCAGTGCCTTAAGGGACTTTATGTGTCATTTGCTGCTCATTTCCTGAAAAACGCTGCTGTATTGCTGGACCACTGCAACGTTTCCAAAATTGGGGAAAAAGAGGATGAGGATATGGTATCTCAGGAAGCAAAAGGCTCTCGATACGAAGAGCTATACTTTGGCAGTGGGCCCATGGCAGAAGAGAAGTCTTCATTGTTAGTGACTGCTATTTTAAAGACTTTGCACTGTGTATTCTTGTATGACTCTCAGAATTTCTTAAGCAATGAAAGATTTGAAACATTAATGCAGCCCATTGTAGACCAGGTAATGATCAAGTTTTATTTATTTTTGTTTAAAAGGTGGAGGTTTGGATTGACTTTGAAATTTTTCTTTTGTGTTTCAGCTGGAAAATACTTTGGGTGGAGAGGCAGGACTAAGGCAGCGTGCAACTGAAATAGTTGTTCCATGTGTGACACAAATGGCCCTTGCATGTTCTGATGATACACTTTGGAAACAGCTTAATTATCAGATCTTGATCAAAACTAGAAATTCCAACCCAATGGTAATATTAAAAAAATATTGCTTTTTTGCAATATGATTTGAAGTGCAAATATTTATGAGAATGCTCTTTGTTTACAGGTACGCTTGGTGTCTCTTGAAGCTGTATGTGGTGTAGCTCGGAAACTGGGTGAAGGTTTCCTCCCATTGCTGCCTGAGACAGTTCCCTTCTTGGCCGAATTATTGGAAGACGAAGAGGAATCCATTGAAACCGCATGTAGAAGAGCTGTTCAAGACCTGGAACAAGTGTTGGGGGAACCTATTCAGAAATACTTTTAAGATAGTAGAAAAATATATTTCTATGAAAATGAACTAATAAACGAACAATAAGCAGAACTGTGATGGTCATATATCTACACCCTTATTTCATCTTACACAAGGGGAACGGAACAAAAACGAATCCTAAAAAATGGCTTTTATTATTTTTAAAAAGAAAACGGCCTCTTATTATGATCCAATATGTCGGTCTTCTCCTATTTCGGCCAAGAGGCTACCACAAGACCCAGTGGGTGACTGAGAGCCACAGCGCTGAGGGCCGGGCTGCTGGGGCTGGCGCTCTGTGAGGGCACAGGGTACAGGGCCTCGTTGGCGGCGCGCGCCACAAGACGACGGGCTGGGCTGGGCTGGGCCGTCTAAAAGTAGATGCGGCCCACCACCCAGACTCGGCTGTGCTCGGGTCGGCCTCGGGGGCGCTCGAGGTTCGCGTCGACGGCGGCTGCCGGCCACCAGCTGTGGACCAGGGTGAGGCGGGGCGGGGCGCCGCGGAGGGACGGCGGCGTCCTGGCGGCGTCCTGGCGGCGTCCTGGCGGCTCGGGGCCGCGAGGGGGTGGAGTGGAGTGCGCCGCCGTAGAGTCCGTCCGTAGCGCCGCCTCGCCAAGCGCAGCCCCGGTCGCGCCGCGTCGCGCGCGTTCCTCTCCGTGGCCGCGGATGCAGGGCTGACCGGCCCATACGTCTAGCCGGAGCCGGGCCGAGCCGGCAGCGCGTCGAGACGAGACGAGACAGGTCGACGCAGGTCGGGGCGGCCCTCAGGCGCTGGACAAGCCGCGACGTGTCTGGGCCCGCCATGCGTCCCGACGCCGCAGCCGACGCCTCGGTGGAGGGCCGAGCATTGTCGGGCTGGCCTTGAGGCCCTGCACTGCAGAGACCTGCAGCCTCAGTGCGCTAGCGCCAGCGAGGTGAGCAGAGCAGGAGTACCCTACTTCCTCCCTGTCCCTGACCTTGTGCCACCGAGTCCTCCCCGAAGTGTGAGTCTGCCCCCTCGGCCTCAGTGCCGTGCTCTAGCACTTGTCCCATGCGTGCGAAAGAGAGCGGCCTCCCGCGGGATCGTTCTGCAGTCCTTCGAGAAGGGGTCGGCGACGTCCGCCATGCCAGTGCACTGGCACTGACTTTTTGCCCCATTCCTCGACGGCCCTCGCTCCGGCGCTCCGGCATCCGACCTAACCCAACAGCCAGTGGGTCAGGGTGCGGGGCGTGCCGCGTGCCGCGTGCCTTGCAGTGTGGGCGGGACGGGACGGCCCTCCTCCCCTCCACGCGACCTGCTTGGACACGGGTGTCTTGGCCTCGCCGCCGCCGTCAGCCCGCCCCGCGCCCACCGCGACTTTCGTTTGTCCGTTCACGGCCGGCCTGTTCACGGATTCCGAGAGTCGTTTCCGTCGCTCGGTCTCTCTCGCACTCACGGGGCGCGCCGTTGCGGTGCGAGAGAGGCCGAGCGACGAAAGCGACTCTCGGAATCGGTCCGCTATTCAGCTCTATTCCCGGGCCCGCCGATTTCTCGTGACCTTTCTGTCATGCATGAGGGACTTGAGGGAGGGACCGCCGCGAGAGCGACAGCGACGTCGCCGCCCTGACTCCCTCCCGCGAGCACTCACTTGAGACGCACACGCCCCTTCCCCCGCCACCGCAAAAAGAGTTACGTGGTTTGTGGACGGCCCCGCGGTGGCGGCGGCATTTGGCCGCACGCGCTTCCTCGCTTCCTTGTCGCGCCGCCCGGTCGCTAGTCGCACTCAGTGTGCACTGTACACGGGGGGCTCCTTCCGAACATTTCGCTCCGTCTCTCTCCCACGGCTTCGCGCGCTCCGGTGCGACAGAGACAGAAGCAGCACAGTTCGGATTCTGCCGGTGGGGGGCCCCCGCTTAAGCGAAGCCGACACCCCCGTTGCCCGAGAATAAACCCACACGCCCTTTCTCCCCCCCCGAAAGATTTCGGGTTGTGGAGGCGCTGGGGCGGACCATTGCAGAAACGCGCTCCTGGGCTTGCTTTCGCGCTGGGTTCCTAGGCGCACCAGTAGCACTTAACTTTCCCGAACACGCCGTCTCTCCCCCCGGTTTCCCGCGCGCTCCGGGGAAACAGAGACAAAAGGTACATTTCGGTTTCCCTCCGTTGGGGGTCCCCTTCGAGGACCTTCGTTGCCCAAAAAGTCATCCCCCAAACCAGCGTGGCGCGGGGCGTGCAGCAGGGCCGATGCCTGCCGGGTTCCTGGGCGGCCAGTGGGAATTACGATGGGCCTAAATGCGTCCCGGCCTTTTCCGCAGAACTCCTTGAGGGAAAACGGAGTTGGTACTTCCGGGAAGTACCGTGGACGACATGCCAGGCGTCGGCGACAGCGGCGACAGCCCCCAGCGACGCGCTGACTGAACCTTGCCGTCCTTGCTGTTCCAGTGATGCTGTGTAATGGACCCCTGGAAGTGGGGGCGGTCCTGGGGCCCCAGCGGGGGTCCGGGGCCCGGGCCGACGACACCTGGGCCTGGCGCGCACGTACCCATGATGGCGGGGCCCATGGCGGGGCCCATGGCGGGCTCCATGTCCGGGCCGCCCATCCTGGTGGGCGAGCGGATTCTGTGGCTGGGCAGCGGCAGCGGGGTGCCCCAAGGCGGCGCCGTGCGTTGGATGGGGAAGCTACCCGAGATGGGCCCGTCGTGGACGCTGGGCATCGAGTTGGTGAGTACAGACACTGTAGACACCAGTCCCGCACAGTGGGCCAGAAGACCGGTGGAGGCGGTCAAAATCCCGGACGCGTTTCAAGCTCCAGAGTCGCTAACTGGGACTCGAACCGAACGTGTGACCCCACCGATGGATTCCTCGTTCGGAGAGCAATCCAATGGTGGGGTCACACGGTCGGTTCGAGTCCTGTTTAGCGACTCTGGAGCTCAAAACGCGTCTTGACTTTCGGCCGCCTCCACCGGTCTTCTGGCCCACTGTGTCCCGCCGTCGTCGTGCCGGGGCTGACTGCACACTGTTTTCTCTCCAGGACATGGCGCTGCCCTACGGTGGCATCGACGGCTGGTGGGGCGGCCGCCGGCTCTTCTCCTGCGAGGCGCGCCGCGGCCTGCTGGTGCCCCTGTCCAGCGTGGTGCGCGAGCCGCAGTCCGCAGGTGAGCCAGCCTAGCGCCTGCGGACGGCCGGGTAGGCAACCCCGCGACACAGGTGCCCGCCGCTTGCCTACCCGGCATTACCATTACCATTACGGGCTCAGGCGCTGGAGGCTGCTGGACTCCAGGCTGGACCTAGAGTCCTAGAGTGGACTCTAGGACTCTAGGACTCTAGCTGGACCTAGCCTTGCCCGCACGTAGCCGAAGCAAGTTTGCATTTAAAACCACCCACATTTTCGGTACCCCCGCTTGGGAATGATTCCGCGCATTGCTACGCGCCGAGCCCGGCTTCAGACTCATTCCGAGAGTCGTTTTCGCCGCTCTGTCTCCCTCGGACCTTTACGGATCTCTCGCAATCACGGGGCGTCCCGTGCGGGTGCGAGAGAGACTGAGAGACGAAACGTTATGCCGAATGAGCCTGCCGCGGCGTCGTCGGGTGTCGGTCCACTCGAAGTGCACACCGCGCTCGGCGCGAAGAGGCTCGCCGAGTTTACGCGACCAGGCGAGGGCTTCTGCTTTGCCTCTGGTTTACGCCACCGCCGCCCCGTTTGCCCGGTGCAGCTCGTGCTGGCCTACTTCCTGCATCTTTGAGGCCCTCGCCAACGCGCTCTGCCTCCGAGTGCTGTCGTCGCCCTGTCTCTCTCGCACTCATTCGGCGCTTCGTGAAGGGGTGCGAGAGAGACAGAACGACGGCGCCCTGGCCGCGCGTTGCCACACCGCGCGTGAGCGGCACGGCCGGGGCTGCGCCGGGGGCGTTCGGCCCGTCACGTCGCTACTCCACGCCCGACGGCCCCACCGCGGCGACACGCCGGCACCGAGAGACTCTAGCTCGGGGGGCTGGCGGGGCGCAGTGGCTTGCAGTAGCGCGCGAAAAGCGGGATGGGAGGATGGGCTGCTGGGGTGCGAGAGAGACATACGTAGCTGTTCGGAGTGCGAAAGTGGCTGCACCGGGTGTGACTGCGGCCGGCTGGAGTCGGTTGCGGTCGAGTCCCGGAAGCGTGGCGGGGGCGGGTCCTCGGGCGGGTCGCCCAGTGTCCGAGCCAAAACACGCGCAGCACTGTCCTCTGGTCAAGAGGGAACTAGGTTATCCGAACTCAGAACCCAAGACCGGTCCACTTTCCTCTTCGTCTGTCGAGTGGACGGAACCGCCGCATCAATGATCTGATCGGTCCGCCAAAGGGTTCGCCGTCGGCACCGCGCTGCCGTCGCGCCGAGCCCGGCTTCAGACTGATTCCGAGAGTCGTTTTCACCGCTCTGTCTCCCTCGCACCTTTACGGAACGCCCCATAAGCGAGAGAGAGACAGAGCGACGAGAACGACTCTCGGATTCAGTCTGCTGCCCCACTGGCTGACGGCCAAGCGGCGCGGGCCTCCCTTTGACTGTGCGACCGCCGCACCGCCACTGCCTCCGCGGCGGACCGGGCGCCACGGGATTTTCATTGAGTCAACGCCCCGCCCGGCCGCGACCCCCTCCCCTCCCCTCCCCTCGCAGGGGTGCGCGCAGGGGTACCTACTTGCGTTGGAGACTCGGCGTGCTTCATGTCTCGAGTGAGATTTGCTGGTGCGCCTTATGAGACTGCTTCCCGTTTCGAGTTTCAAGTTAGGGGTTCCAACTAGCAGTTTTGGGGTGGCTTCACATCCGTATCTTGGACGGGTTGGGGTCCTTCCTCTGCTAAGGCGCCGGCCGGACAGGTAGGCACCCCGGACAGCCTCGTAGTCGGCGGAGGCTGACTGTGGGATGTGCGGGCCGGTCGGACCGTCCAAAGAGATGCCTCCTTGATTCCGCCTCCACCCCGCCCCGCCCGCCATGCTCCGCCACGCCCCGCCTGCACTGTCGCCGTCGTGCAGGCGCTGCCGGGTGGCGACGCGACGCCCCGGGCGCACCGCAGACGTTCGCCGACCGTCGCCGCCGTGGTGTCGGCAGTGTCGGCCCCCGGGGGGGACTCAGAGTGGACGCGGCACGAGGGGACGTACTCGTCCTGGACATGCTGCACGTGGCCGAGGACGTAGAGTGACGGCCACGAGGACGCCGGACAGGGGCGTGACGGCGAGCACACCAAAGTAACGAACGAAAGCCTCCGATCCGAACTGGCCCCAGGTCGACCCCAGCCTCGGTACGTACACCGCAATCATCCCCCAACTCTTGCTTTTTGCGCATTTCGGCGGAAAAGCCCCTCCACCCTTAAAAAACGGAAACCTCGTTATCCTGCTCGCTGCCCCCAGTGGCGTAACAGCGCGGTTACTTACTGTGAGGTAATGGGCGTGCACCCCCCACGCTGGAGGCTGGGACGTGGGCCGCGGTGAAGGCGGTGCCCCGCTCCTTCTCCTCCCTTCATTTCGCTACGCCAACCGCCGCCGCGGCTGAGACTGCGCCGTGCGAGTCCACCGATCCAGGGCGCGTGAGTCAGCGGCGTCAGCGGCGGGGGAGGGTGTGTAATTAGCAGGGAGACACAGGTGGAACCGCACCGTCTAGGGTTGCCCACCGGCGCGGAGCCAGCGTGAGCCAGCGGCCCGATGAGGCGCGAGGTGGCACTGCTGCGGGTGGCACCCCTAGGGCGTCGCCGCGTTGCTCGAATTTACGCCCGTCGGCCTGGTTTATGCCGTTGAACTCGTTGAACTCGCGGCCGCCGTATTTCGGGGTGTCGCGCGGACGCACCGCCTTGCACACCGTCGCACAGTGGGCCAGAAGGCCGGTGGAGGCGGCCAAAACTCTAGACGCGTTTTGAGCTCCAGAGTCGCTAAATGGGACTCGAACCGAACGTGTGACCCCACCAATGGATTCCTCGTTCGGAGAGCAATCCATTGATGGGGTCACACGTCCGGTTCGAGTCCCATTTAGCGACTTTGGAGCTCAAAACGCGTCTCGAGTTTCGGCCGCCTCCACCGGTCTTCTGGCCCACTGTGCGTCGTCGCGCAGACCGTGCAGGCAGAGGCACCAGAATCCCAGGACAAGGGGGAGGGGGTGATCGTTATAATGTGGTGGCGGTGACCCAGTGCCGACACGACGTTTGCGATCCGTCGCGTCACCAGGGGATCCGGGACGGGCGAACCGACGCCGAGACTGCCTCTGCGGCGGAGGAAATGCTTCACGGACTCGACCGACTTCTTGAGGAAGGGAACGAACCGGGGAAACGGCCGATCTCGTCCTGAGACACAGGACAGCCAGAACAACCCGGGGCTAGCCAAGCCGCCAAGCAACACGAGGACGCCACTTTGTCCCAGTCAGTCTGGCACATTGTCTCCTGCCCGTGTGCATCTTTGTGTGTGTGTGTGTGTGCTTGCTTCGGGGCGCATCTGCGAGTAGGTGGCGTGTGTGTGTGTGTGTGTGTGTGTGTTGTTGGGTGGTTGGGTGTGTGTGTGTGTGTGTGTGCGTTGGTGTGTGTTGGCGCACCGCATCGCAGCATCGCCGCATCGCACTGCGCCACGAGAATAGCTCCACCGCAAAGTGTTGCAGGCGTATTAGTCTAGATGCATCGCCGTGCCCGCTTCGCCGCAGCCTGCCGGTCTGTCTCTCTCGCACCCACAGGGCGCCACGCCGCGGCCCGCGAGTGCGAGAGAGAGGCCTGCGCCGCTTGCAGCAAGCAGCCTGGCCGGACCGGCCGGCCGACCAGGAAGTCGATGGGGATGGCGATGGCCCGATTGGCGCTGGCGAGACCCGCTAGACTTTATCGAACAGTGTGGCGGTCGTGCCGAATCCGCCCAAATATAGAACACAGAACACAGTGGCGTGGCGCGCGGCGCACGGCAGCGGGGCGTCACTTGCAGTGCAGTGGTGTCAAGGGCGGGCGTCCGTCAGCGTGGCCAGGCCGGGCCAGGGGCTCCCCAGTGACCCGGTCTGGGCCGCCTGCCCGCCCGCCACCGCGTGTGTCAGCTAGACGAGTGTCGAGTCCTGCAGTCCTCAAATAGGCCTCGAGTCAAACACACACTGGGCTGGGAATGGATCGCCCTGGGAACGAGGATTCCACTCACACCATCATGTGATTGATTCGGGTCGTCTCGAGGGTCGTCTTCGAAGATCCAGAGCCTCGAACAGCGGCTGGATTCCGACCAGTCCTTTCCACGTTCTGTCTGTCTCTCTCGCACTCGTGGGGCGTTCCGTAGGGGGTGCGAGAGAGACAGAGCGACGTGGTGGCGCCAGGGCGATCGTCCGCGCCAATACCTTGCAAAAGGGAGGACGGGAATGAGGCGTCGACGGCAGAAAATACGGTGCCCCCTCCTCTCCCGCTCGGCCACTCCACGCCACGCCCAGCCCGGTGGAGCCATGAATCAGAGAGGACAGCGACACTGCACACTCGCGCATGGCCCTCCCCGCCCCGCCCCGCGCTGCGCGGGGTTTATTTTTATGTCGCTTTCATTTCATCTTCCCATCGCGTCGCTCTGCGCTGCAAGGCGCTGCAAGGACCCCAAGTTTCCGCATGGGAGGTGATGACGCGTCCCAGTGCGCCCCCTCCCCCTCCCCTCCCTCCCCCTCCCACCCCCTCCCCTCCAGCGCCCCAAAGCTCGGCTCCATTCCCACCCATGCGTCACCCAGATCCGGACAAGCAGTAAAAAGTGCCGCCACGATTAGTGTTCGGAACGCTGGGCTGGGGGAGGGGTGGGTGGGGGGGCTTTCACTCGTCGCGAAACAAAACAACGCGAATAATGGCGTTTGTAAATAAACGCGCGTCCATGACAAAGCCGTGGACCGCGGCACACCCCGCGGGTTGAGTATCCCCGAGGCCTGCCGGCAGGGCACAGGGCATGCGTCGCCGGGGTTCCTACTCAAGCTCAGAACTAATCAAGTGTTTTTCTCCCTTTGCGCTGCCCGGCCGGGACGGCTGGCATTCCCTAGACTCTGTAGACTGACTCCGAGCAGCGGCTCCGTCGCTCTGTCTCTCTCGCACCCGTGCGGGACGCCCAGCGAGTGCGAGAGAGACAGAGGCGGTCATCGGTTGACGAGGACGAGACGCAAGGGCCCAGGCAGGCAGGCAGGCAGCCGCAGGGGCAGGCACAAGGCGCCCAGTTTCTGGACACCCACATTTGAGGAACAGGTTTTCTCCCTTTGCGCTGCCCGGCCGGGATGGCTGGCATTCCCTAGACTCTGTAGACTGACTCCGAGCGGCGGCTCCGTCGCTCTGTCTCTCTCGCACCCGTGCGGGACGCCCAGCGAGTGCGAGAGAGACAGACTGGCGCGTCATCGGTTGACGAGGACGAGACGCCGGCAGGCGGCAGGCAGGCAGGCAGGCAGGCAGGCAGGCAGGCTGGCTGGCAGGCAGGCAGGCAGGCAGGCTGGCTGGCAGGCTGGCAGGCAGGCAGGCAGGCAGGCAGGCAGGCTGGCAGGCTGGCTGGCAGGCAGGCAGGCAGGCTGGCTGGCAGGCTGGCTGGCAGGCAGGCAGGCAGGCAGGCTGGCAGGCAGGCTGGCTGGCAGGCAGGCCAGGCAGGCAGGCAGGCAGGCAGGCAGGCAGGCAGGCAGGCAGGCAGGCAGGCAGCCAGGCAGGCAGCCGCAGGCTAGGGGCACCGCACTCCCCTCGTATTTATAGAATGCCAATGCGCGACCATCTCTCCCATTGCCACGGCCAAGGCAGCCGGGAGGGGGGGGGGTTGACTTTAGAGATTAGAAAGTGTGCTCCGACTAAAGGGCCAGAAAATTAAACGCCATTTCCAGCATCGGCCTCGGTCGCCGATTTGCAAGTTACAAGTCCTAACGAGTGTTCCTTCCCTTTCCTCTGTTCGCCGTTTGCCAGGACTTGCTAATTGGCAACACCCGTGCGAGCAGCAGGCGGCCTACGCCCCGCCCCAGCACCAGCAGCACCAGCAGCACCAGCAGCCGGAGTACTTCGCCGCCGCCAACGCAAACCAACAATACGTAAGTTTCAATTTTGCCGCGCCAGACAGCGCCGAGGGGTCGGGGTGCGGGAGGGGGCGGGGGAGGGGTGGCGGGGGCGCTGTGCCCCTTTTGCTCTCTGGTTCGTCTCGCCTCGCCTCCCCGGGACAGGGCCGCAGGGCCGCGGCCGGTGGGTAGGGTAGCTTGGTGGCTTGGTTGGTTGACGCCCGGGTGACGGCTTCTGGTTGCAGCCCAAGCCGGCCGTCCGCAGGAAGAACGTGCCCTCCTTCGTGCAGAGCCTGCCGCTCGTGGAGGAGGAGACGAGGCAGGCCGTGTACGACACGCGCGAGCACGTGCAGCAGCAGCGCCTCGAGGAAGAGCGGCGCGAGTCCGCCGCGGACACTGTCTCGGGCACGGTCTCGGACACGGCCCTGCAGCCGTCCGCGCCGCCCCGACAGCGAAGCGGCGTCCGCCTGACGCGCTCCGGGGACTTCAGCGCGGTGAGCTGGCAGCAGGCCGGCCCCAGCCACGACCTCGGCCACGGCCCCAGCCCCGCCGCGCCGCCCGCGCCTGGCCTCGGCGTGGTGCGCTGCAGCAGCGCGGAGGCGTTGCCGGGCCCCGCCACGGCCTCGGCCTCGACCGCCCCGGCGTCGCGACCCTCCAGCGGCCACGGCCTCTTCTCCTTCTTCCGCTGGTTCAAGAAGGGCGGCCGGCAGGACGGCGTCCAGGGACAGCCAGCCACCGCCGGCAGCAGAGCCGGCAGCTCGGACTTCGACGACGAGGATGACGAAGACGACGATGACGACGACGACGACGTGCTGCAGCCCGCGTACCCGTGCCGCGCCTCCAGCTACGGCAGCATCGACACGGTCTTGAGCACGGCCACGGTCAGCAGCTTCCGCTTCGTGCAGCCCGGCGCGTACTCGCTGAGCCCCGCCAGCCCCGTGCAGCGCAGGGACGGCCGGGACCTGGTGGTCGCGTCGGACACCGCCTCGTACCGCCTGCGCATTCGGCAGCGCGACCGCCGCAGGGAGGCCGAGAAGGGCATCTCGCTGAGGAGGAAGTACCGGCTGTACGGCAGCGACACCACCATCCACAGCCACCGCAGCCACTCGGACCTGCTGCACGCCGAGGGCCTTGCCCAGGGCCTTGCCCAGGACCGGCGGCAAGGCGACCCAGTCCAGGATCGGCGACACACCGACGTCGCCTACGACCGGCGGCAAAGTGATCGTGTCCAGGAACGGAGGCAGAGTGACCTCGGCCAGGAACGGCGGCAGAGTGACCTCGGCCAGGAACGGCGGCAGAGTGACCTAGGCCAAGAACGGCGACAGAGTGACATCGGTCAGGAACGGAGACAGAGTGACCTCGTTCAGAAACGACGACAAAGTGATCGAGTCGAGGAAGGGCCCGTTGACCTCGCTGAACCACCAGAGATTCCGCCGCTCCCCAGCCCAGCGAGTCGCCTTGGCTCACGCCTTGGTGATCAGGGCGCGGCAGTGACCAGTGATCCAAAGGCAGCGAAACCCGACCAGAAGCCGTCGCAGCCCCAGAGTGCCGCTTCTTCCCGAGGCGTCGTCGTCCAGGACTCGGCTCATCCACTGCCAACGGCGCGGCGGAAGGCTTCGGAAGTCACCGCCGGGCCCAACCCGTTCGACGAGCCGGAACCAGCAGGACCGGCAGAGAACAGCCCCGAGCGGACTCCACAGGCCAAGGCGCCGTTACGGACTCCGCGGCACACCAAGAACCTAACGGTAGGGCCCAACCCGTTCGACGGGCCGGAACCGTCAACGTCCGGCACTTCTTGTGCTGCTAGCAAGGCGAGCAAGGCCAGGAAGCCGGTCTCGACGAACCCTTTCGACGAGTCCGACGAGTCTGACGACGACACCACCGTCGACACTGCCGGGAAACCGGCGTCGGCGTCCACCTCCACCGCCCCCTCCACGTCCACGTTGTCGGCGGCCAGCCAGACCAGCCAGAGTGACCTGGTCGGCTGCACCCGGAGCGCCGCGCCGCCCGATCGCTTCCCGGACCTCGTCGTCCCGACGCTCGGCAGGAAGAAGGGTCGCGAGGCCAACGACTACAGCCTGCCGGCCACGCTCGAGCACCGGGAGTTCTCGCTGACGGGGCCCTTGTACGAGAGCGCCACCCTCCACATCGGCCGCTACGAGCGCCACCAGTGCCAGCACCGGCGCTCCGCCAGCGACACCACCGCCACCGGCACCGACACCGAGAGGAGGCTCCGCGCGCACGTCCGCGGCAAGAGGAGGGCGCCCACGCCGCCCTGCGACGCCGCGGCCGGCACCGGCACCGCCTCCAGGACCAGCACCGCCTCCAAGAAGAAGCGGCAGGCGCCGCTGCCGCCAGCACTGCTAGAGGAGCGGCTGGAGCAAGAGCGGCTGGAGAAGGAACGAGTGGAGAAGGAACGACTGGAGAAGGAACGACTGGAACAAGAGCGGCTGGAGAAGGAACGAGCGGAAAGGGACCAGTTGAACAGGACCGACAGAGGCTAGAAAGAGAAAGGAAGGTCGAGGAAGAGCGGCTGGAAAAGCTTCGCGCCGAGGCGGAACGACTGGAGAAGGAACAGCTGGAGAGGCAGCGGCTGGACAGAGAACGCAGGGCAGAAGAGGAGCGACTCGCGAAGGAGAGAGCGCAGCGCGAGCTGCTGGAGCGAGAGCGCGACGAGCGGCGGCGCCTGGAGAAGGAGAAGCTCGAGCGCGAGCGGCTGGAGAAAGAGCGCAACGAGCGGGAGAGACTGGAGAAGGCGCTGGAGGAGAAAGCGCGCGAAACGGAACGGCTGCAGCGGGAGAAGGGCGAGGCAGAGCAGCTGCTGCGCGAGCGAAGCGAACGCGAGCGGCTGGAACAGGAAAACATCCGGCGGCTGGAGAGAGAGATAGAGCAGGCCAAGGAGACGCTGGAGAGAGAGAGACTGGAGAAGGAGAAGCTGGACTGGGAGCTGCGGCTGGAGCGGCTCAGCGACAGGCTGGACCGCAAGGGCAAAGGCAAGGGCAGGAAGGGCGGGGCGGGGCTGAGCGCCGCGGAGCGCGAGCGGCTGCTGGGCAACATCAACAAGCTCGAGGCCCACGCCGCGCGCCTCGGCAGCCCGCCCGGGTCGCCGCGGCCCAGCGCGGCCAAGGACGTGTGTCGCGCGGCCGCCGCCAAGGAGACCAAGGACAAGGAGAACATGGCGCCCGGGTCGCCGGGGGCAGCCGGCGCCAGCGGCCCCGTGTCACCCGTGTCACCGCGGCCCTGGTACAAGCGCTCCTCCACGCACCGCGACAGCGGCGGCTTCCGGGACATCTTCCGCAGCCTGGAGAAGCGGCACAAGAAGGCGGCCGCGGCCGACGAGGACGACTGGATGCCCGAGTCCGGGGTGCCGCGCGGCAGTGCCGTGGCCGCCGCGGCCGCGCCGCAGCAGGACGGCGGGGGCGGCGCGCACGCCACCAGCCGCTTCAACATCTTCTCCCGCCTGACGGAGGAGTGGCTGGGCGGCGACAAGCGGCGCTCGCAGGTGTCCATGCTGGCCAACATCAGCGAGCTGGACCGCGAGGCGGCCGAGATCGTCCAGGAGCAGCACGCCCGCCAGGCCGCCGTGCAGGCGCGCCGCGACGCCGAGTTCTACGCGCGCCACGAGAACGGCGCGCCCGAGGTGAAGCACGTGGACAACGGCGACCTGGAGAACGGCGTCGCTGCCGACCGCCAAAAGGACGCGCCGGAGGACGACCAGGAACGGCCGCGGAAGAACTCGGCCAAGGAGTTGATCTCGCTGTTCAACGCCATCGGCGGCGTGCCGGGCGGCAGTGGACTGCAAGAGGCCCCCGCGACGCAGGACGCCAAGCGAGGGCTGTTCGGCGCGGCGCGATCCAGGAGCACGGACGACGAGCGCCTGCGGTGCTGGGGGCTCAACGGGCTGTCGCCCAAAGCCGCCAGACGCACCACCACCACGCCCTCGTTCTACGAGACGGGGCCTGAGGTGGCCGCGCTGTCCTGAGCAGGCGTTTCGAGTGGAGGCGCCCCTCGCCGAACGCCGACGACGACAGCGACCTGGCGACCACCACGGCCAGCACCACGGTCTCGGAGACCAAGTCCGCCGCGAAGGGAGTCTACACCACGTCGATCTCAACCGCGGCCGCAAGCACCAGCACACCTGCAAAAGCGATATCCACCACGACAGCCACAGAAAAGGACATCTCCAGAAACGCTCCGGGTAACAAGGCCATCGTCACTACAGCATCGACAGCCTCCACCTCGCCTGGCCCCGCCATGAAAGCAGATGCAAGACTACTCGCAGGGCCGTCAACCCCGTCGAAGGGCCTCTGGGCCTCGGACACGAAGGCGTCGGCCACCACAACCACCACCACGATCACGACCTCAGTGTCCAAAGCCGCGATCAAGACTGCCACCACGGCCTCGTCTACGCCCGCCACATCGGATGCCTCTGCGCGCGGAAGCACCACGACCTCCGACGCGAAGGCACTTCCCTCGGCCTTCGCCGTGGCCTCGGCGCCCAAGGCAGCCGCCCCGGCCTCGTCAGCACCATCAACGACAACCCCCACGGCCTCGGCCACCAGCGTCTTCCACAACGGCCAGTCGATGTGGGTGTGCCCGCGCTGCACGCTGGAGAACCCTCGCTGGAGGTTCACGTGCGACGCGTGCTCCATGTGGAGGCCGGCGGAGCGGAGGCCGGCAGGCCTCGAGGCCCGCGAGGACGAGGCCGACGTGCCGCCGGGGCCTCCCGCCTTCCTCGCGGAGGACAAGAAGGCCCAAGAGAAGGCACTGGAGAAGAGGAAGGCGCCGAGCACCATCAACTGGGAGGCGGAGCTCAAGCGCTACTTCAACAAGGACGAGAAGGCCGTGGGCGCGGCCGGGCAGAGTCGGACAGCCTCGGCGTCGAGCGCGCAGGACGTCAAGGCGAAGACAGGGGTTCAGGTCTCGGCCTCGGCTGCCAAGCCAAGCACAACGGATACCAAGGACACCCAGGTCCAGCCCGTCGTCTCGGCCATCAGCCCGCAGGCCCCGGCGGCAAGCCCCGCCAGGTCCGAGCCCAAAGCTGACACGGCCTCGGCGCCGAAGGGAGCGGCCTCTACTAGCGTCGCAGCGTCACCCAGGCCGGCCTCTACCGCAGCCGCAGTTGCAGCGCCAGCGCAGCAGACAGCCGTGGTGAAGCCTCAGCCGTCGACCACGTTCGTCGGGGGCCGTCTGCGGCAGGACGAGGCCGTGGCCGCGGCCCGCAGCAGGCTGAGCAAGAGCAAGAGCGAGGACATGGCGGGGAGCGTGTCGGGGCACCTGCTCGGGGGGCAGGCGGCCAGCGCGGCGGCGGACGTGGAGGAGCTGCGGAAGGCGCGACTGGCGTTCTTCCGGTCCTCGGCCTTCGTCGACGAGGACAACGACGACCTCACCGTGGCCCTGGCCTCCATGAGCACGCAGACGAGCGCCGTGGCACGGCCAGCGCCGCCGCAGGACGGCGGCAATCTGCGCGACCTGCTCAAGGAGATGAAGGCCGGGCTGCCGGACAGACGGAACCAGGGGGCAAGCGGGGCGGGGGTCAGGGTGACTGGGGAGGCGAGTCGATCGGAACTCAGAGTGGAGGCCAAGCCCCGGAGCGTGGCTAGCACGGCCAGCACGGCGCAGGGTGTAGCGGCAGCCAGGACGACCAGGACGAAGGTGTCCTCGTCCGCGCAGACGAGCGCGCAGGTCATTCGCAAGGCAGAGCCGCCCCCACCCCGCCCCGCCCCCGCTGCCTCGGCCTCGGCCGTGGTGCAGGACGGCGTGCTGTACACGTCGCTGCGGCGGGGCAGCCGCCGGCTGGGCTCGGGGACCTTCAAGCTCATCGGGGAGAGGGACTTTGCGAGCCGCGCCTCCAACGCGCCGCTGTACATGAACGTGCTCCCCCGTCCACAGCGCGATGCGGCCCCAGCGGCCCCAGCGGCGAGGGCCGCCGCCGTCGACTCGAGCCCCGAGCGCAGGTCCACGACGGAATCGGCTGAGTTCGCGACGCCATCGTCGTCCGCGGCGTCGTCGTCTTGCGGCGGCCGCTCCAAGGCGCCGTCGTTCGGCATGGCCTCGCCCTTGGCCTCGCCCTCGCGCAGCGCCAGCGGCGCCAGCCGAAGCGACTCCCCGGCGTCCTTCTCGTCGTCCTCCGAGCGTGGCGACGCCCTGCCCTTCGTCGGCAGCCCGGCGCCGTCAGGCCGCGGGGTCGGGTCTGCCTCCCTGAGCACGCCGATGACGTCCTCGCGGGCCAGCTCGGTGGAGACGCCGCCGTCCTCCGCGGGCCACCTTAGCCGCGACGCCTCCATGGACAGCGTCGCCTCGACGTCAACCTCGGCGTCGACCTCGGCGTCCGGGCCGTCGCGCAGCCTGAGCGTCGTCAGCGACTGCAGTGAGGTGGACAGGCTGACGGAGCAGCTGTCCGCTCCCCAGGGCATCGCGGACTTCAGAGGTAAGTCAATCCTCACTTTCTAAATGTTTTAAGGGCGTAGGAGCGCAAATTTTTTTTTTCACCAATTGATAGTGATCGATGTGGTAAGGCACCATGTCAAACCGTTTTGCCCGGCGACGCATAGTTTCGGCGTCGCGACGCCCCAAAGTTCGAAATTTTGGCTGTTTTTGACATTTTCCAGACCACACGACGGCGAAATCAAGGGTCGCAGCGTCTTGAAACTTTGCACACTTGTTGGCAGGGACTGTATGCAGGGTATGGTCTACTCCAATTTGCGCTCTAACGTCTAGGAACGTAACTGGAACGCCTTGAAAATGAGTGATTTTCAGGAAGCTCCCGAGCGGTATCTAATGAAAGGGCGAAAAAATGGACCATCACATCCCCTAGGCCATGCCTTTCTCTGCACGCGCAAGTTTTTTCCATTTCTCTAGGAGGTGTGGTACTCGCGTCGTGTGGTCTAGAAAATCACTCAGATTTGAAGGTCCTGCACCAGTAGAGAGAGACAGGCTGCTTCGGCCGATGTGTTGTTTCTGTCGCACAGCGGAGCGCAGGGCAGGTAGTCGGGGTCCGGGGTGACGCGCCGGGCGGACAATAGGGGAGCCGTCGAGGAGCCGTCTGCAAGGCAGGCGGCACCGGACCCCGACCAGCTTTGGCCAATTTTCGTCGCGATTTTGGTAGAAATTATCGTAGAAAAAAAATTCAAACACCATTAGACCCAGCTTTCAACGACGAATCCATTGCCGCATTTTCCAAAAACGCGAAAAGGCTCGTTTGAAAATTTGTATTTTGGGCCTGGGGGTAATAAATTAGCCTGTCGTCATCGTCGCCTCGGCGCAGCCCATTGTGAAGCAGGCCTCTCCACACAAAAGGGAGGCGATCCTTTCGCTACCTGAAAGCTAAAATTTTTCTAACGCGTCGTTTGACACTCGTGGGATGTTCACCATTGTACTCGGGATGAAATTTTTGATCTTTCCATCTAAAAATGAAGTTTCTGCGGCCACTTTTAACAGAGCAAAGAAAACAACTTTTTTAGCTATATAGAAATAATCAGTACTTCGCAAAAAATATTTTGTCAAATTTGGTCAAAACTTTTGATTTTGACCTGAAACTTGGACTTGGAGTTGAAGACCGGTCCCGAGCTCACGAAAAGCTGGCGATCTGCTCCGTGCGGCCCAGGCCGAGCCCCGTGCCGGGGTGTCATTCACCCGCACTCCGGCAGGCCGGCCATAAACAGCCGGCCGAGGGTGCATTGTCTGCGAACCAGGTCTACGGGGCATCGAGGCCCCGGCCTCAGACGATTGCGGATGCACCCGAAAACGCTCTCGGATGCTACCATTCTCAGAGTAGCCACCCGCTCCTACGCCCTTAAAGCCTAAAACGAGCTGGGGTCTTTTACGACTGCTGGTGTCTTCAGCCGCGCTGAACCGCGCGCAGGGCGTGGACGCGGCCGGCGTGCCCGACGTCAACACCCTGGCCGTGAACCGACTGCTGCGCCGTCTCGAGGCCACCATCGCCAGCGGCCAGCACCAGGAGGCGGCGCGCCTGGCCAAGGACCTGGCCAGGCTCAAGATCTCCTGCAGAGTGACGCGGCAGCGCAAGCAGCTCGACACCATCACGTAAGCGAGTAGAGATGAAGGCCTGTGAAGGCAGCCAAACTCGACACGCTTTTTGAGCTCCAGAGTCACTAAATGGGACTCGAACCGAACGTGTGACCCCATCAATGGATTGCTCTCCGAACGAGGAATCCATTGATGGGGTCACACGTTCGGTACGAGTCCCATTCAGCGACTCAAGAGCTGAAAACGTGTCTAGAGTTTTGGCAGCCTGCACCGTTCTTCCGGCCCACTGTGGGCCGCTTCGAGTTGAAGCCCGCAGAGCCCGCGTTCATTCCATTCCGCTTCCTCGGCAGGGTCGACATGTACGTCGAGGACAAGGTGTCACACCAGGGGCCCATCCCACTGCAGGTGACGCCCAGCATGACGGTGGGCCAGTTGGCTGCCAAGGTGGCCCAGGAGTTCCAGCTGCCGGAGAACGTGCAGCGCTGGATCCTGGGCAAGCAGCTGGCCAACGACCGGGCGAGCACACTCAGGGACCACAACGTGGTCGAGTCGGGCTGCCCCGTCTTCCTGTACCTCGTCGCCCCGGGTAAGGCCGAAGCAACATGTATTCAGGTTCAAACTGTATCCGTATTTTGCCAGCGAACACATGATACTCTTGTGCGCAGAGCCCGATGCTGAGAGTAGCGACGGTGACGGCAGTTCGATCTCCGGGCACTCTGGCCACTACTCGAACGGCCTGGGCGAGGCCCCGGCACCCGAGCCGAAGCGTCCGCCACCGCCGCCTGCCGACCCCAACAGGCGCGGCGGGTGGTACTTCAACTACGAGGAGGACCGCTACAGCTTCTGTGAGGACTCCGACGAGGACCTCTCCGAGGATGACAAGGCACCCGTGGGGTAGGTGGCGTCTCGGGAAGCGAGTCGCGCGATGAAATCGGGAACCCAATTTCTCCGTCCTTGTCGCAGGCCGCGGCAGGCTGTGTCCACCACGCCGACCCCCGCGCCCCGACGGGTCACATCGCCCGCACCGCCAGCCCACGCCGTGGCGTCCCCCTTGCCGGAGCCTGCTACCCTCCGAGTGACCTCTCCGGAGCCACCCACCCGGACCGTGACCTCGCCCACTTCGCCTGCGCCGCCGAACAGGAGGGTTAAGTCTCCCGAGCCAGCGGTCCAGCGCGTTAAGTCGCCTGAACCGGCCGCCCGGGGGGCCGCCCCGCCGGAACCGGCAAGGACGGCGACGGCGGCCGCGCCACGCACCACGACGTCAGCGTCACCACCGCGACCAGAGACGCTGTCGCCCACCCCCGCGCCCAGGAGGGTCTTCGGGTCCGCGGCCGCGCCGCAACCGCAGCACCCTCCTGTGCGACCGCAGACGTCCGGGTACCGCAGCCAGCCCCTGCAGACCGTGCTCGCCACCGCCACCACCAACACCCCCACCAACACGACCACCGCGCCGAAGGTCCCCGCCTCGCCGCCGCCCATTCGCGCCGCCGGTGCGTACGTCGGCGGTTGGTTACCCGCCGGAAAGGCAGGGTGGATTTCGAAACTAGTTTGACGATGTCTTGAAACTTGACTCCTCTCTTCGCCCACAGCCGCAGCCCCAGCAGCCGCCAAAGGTACTGCCACGGCTGCAGCCGTCAAGGCCACTGCTGCACCAGCGGCAGCTCAAGCTGCGGCCACCGCGGCGTCCGCAGCAGGGACGTCCACGTCGTACGAGAAGGCCGAGAAGCTGCCCAGCTGGCGGTGCCCGCGCTGCACACTGCTCAATTCGGGCGTCCGTCCAGGCTGCGCGGCCTGCACGGCCGAGCGGCCGGCCACCGCGGCCGCCGACGTAAGCAGCGCGACGACGACGGGGCGGACGGGGCGGCACCCCGGGCTACGCCACTCTCCATGCGAAGTAGGATGAAACGGTGACACTTTCTTTTCAGGCGGCTGAACTGGGGCTGGCCGACGCGGAGGAGGCGGAGCGGCGGCAGCGCGAGCGCCAGTACCAGCTGCTGGTCAACCTGGAGCGCCAGGACCTGGTGCCAAGCGTCGAGGCCTTCGAGTGCTCCGTGTGCCTGACGGAGCACCCCGGCGGCGCGGGCGCCGTGCTCAGAGAATGCCTGCACACCTTCTGCAGGTGCGTACAGTACCCGCCACGCCGTGCCACGACTCCGGGTTCCGGGACCGCCGTTCGACCATGCCTTGTTGTGTTCGCAGGGCGTGCCTCATCCAGACGGTGCAGTTCTCCGACGACGCCGAGGTCAAGTGCCCGTACCGCGACAAGGAGTACGCCTGCGACTGCGTGCTGCAGGAGAGGGAGATCAAGGCGGTGAGTGGCGCCGCTCGAGTCCACCGCCGTGCACTTGATGAGGTGGTGCTCACGTCTTGTTTGCCTGCAGCTGGTGCCCGCCGCCATGTACGAGCAGCACCTGGCCAAGTCCATCAAGCAGGCCGAGCGCAAGATCGAGAACGCGTTCCACTGCAAGACGCCGGACTGCGCGGGCTGGTGCATCTTCGAGGACAACGTCAACGAGTTCCGGTGCCCGGTGTGCAGGGCCACCAACTGCCTCACTTGTCAGGTCAGCACTTTGCCATGAAACAAACAAGGCCGGCCGTCTCCTCAACCCATTCGCGACTCCCCCTGTCTGTGCCCACAGGCCATCCACTCGGACGCCAACTGCGCCGAGTACCAGGCCCGGCTGCAGCGCGAGGCGGCGGACGGCTCCAACGAGGACGCGCGCCGGACGCAGGCCATGCTGGAGGAGATGGTGGCTCGCGGTGAGGCCCTGAGCTGCCCGTCGTGCCACGTGGTGCTCATGAAGAAGTGGGGCTGCGACTGGCTGCGCTGCAGCATGTGCAAGACGGAGATTTGCTGGGTGACGCGGAAGCCTCGCTGGGGGCCGGGGGTTTGTAGACTGTGCCACGCCACATTTTCACTACCACTTCTCAGCTTTTCTGAATCTGTTTACCTTCGCCATTTCTTTTTCGTGTATCTTTGTTGACGTTTACAAAGCGCCATTTGAACCGCCCCAACTTTGCTGTATTTGAGGTGCCTGCGAAGCCTGGGGAAAGCGAAACGAAACGGGTTAGTGCGCGCCACTGTACGAGGGGGTAAACACTCCAGTGAACCTTGTACAGACTACTCCCTATTACGGGGTATTACACTTGTATTACGCATGTATTACGCCTCAATTTCATTGAAAAATGACATTTTTTGATACTTTTGGTCCCAAAATGTATTTCTATTACGCGTATTACGGCGTAATACCCGACTTTTGTGTACAGGGTATTACGCAAGTGTTTACCTCCTCGCCACTGTAGCTGTCGAATGGGCTGCCTACCCTCCGGGGGCGCCAGCCTGCCCTGGCCCATTCCACACATCGCGCTCTGTGTCGCCTCGTCTCTCTCGCACTTAGACACCATCCCGACTAGGTGCGAGAGAGACAGAGCAGGGCGACGAAGCGCTTCTCAGGCGCATGCGCACAGCCCCTTCCTGTTCGCCACCACTTCCCTCCCGCAGGCTGCAGCGTCTCTCCTGCACTGTCTTTTGAACGCGACTTCGTGTTGCCTGTTGCAGGGGAAGGGTGACACGACGGGGGGCTGCCAGTGCGGAGTCAACGGCATCAAGTGCCACCCCAAGTGCAACTACTGCCACTGAGCCACCCTTCATAGTTGCCGACCCGATTGTTTGGTATTCGAGTTTCGGAGAGTAGTAGTCAGCATTTATAAACCACCTGATCTCAGATTGAGGAAGTTTTGCTTTAAGAGTGCACGGTTTGAAAATTCCTCACATTGCTTCATAATTGTTGTATATTTGATTTTGCCTGGTGGATTTTATTGTGACCAAAAAATGATTGTTAACTGTGACAATAATCTTAGTAGACTAAAAGAGTAGAACTCTACCATTATGGTGCTGAGTATGTTTTGTATATTTTGTAATGAGACAACTTATCTAGTTGTTCCTTAACTGTGATGGACATGGTCACTTTGCCTTTAAGTGAATATTGTCAGACAATTTTTGTTTTGAGTTAGTAAAAACTGTGACCTATGAATTTGGGACTCTGGCTCACGTTTGCTTTGTTTTTGTAGCCCTGTCAAATGCATGTCATTCTTTCATAGGGGTCAATAAAACAAAATAATGATGTAAAAGCAATATTTATTGAGTAAAATTAGTGACAGAAGAGAAGACCTTCAAATTTTTCTCATGTGGAGAAAAATTAATTCATCTCTCGTTTGATGGACAGCTAGATCTTGATGTTATTCCTCCTCATCAGAAGATAATGTCACTATTTCTAGGAAATGAAAGAATCACAAAGTTAGGAGGATACACATATGAGACACAGTTTCAATTTAAAAAGCAAAGGCGTACCAGGCACTGCACATGCAGGGTTTTTAAATAGTTTTAACTCTGGCCCAACACAAATTTGAACCAAAGTCCTCCGGCTGATATCTACTATCCTTGTTAGCTTCATTTTGAAATCTTCTGTTATATTTTCAGGGAGTAGTATTATGTGCCTAAGGGTGTCATCTAATCAATCCAACACATTATTTTTAAATACACAGGACAATAAAACATTTATAATTAAGATTCATTTGAAAACTTACCAGTTGAACTGGGGTCAAAATAAAATGACTCATCATTTAAATCATTCATGTGCAGAGCCTTTCTAACTTTTGAACCCCCATTTGTGGATAGGTTTATGAACAGCACTGGCATGGTACGAGAATAGGAAACCATGAACCTACAGATATCTGAGATTGCAATACTGACAATGACACTTTGATCTGATGGAATAGAAAATTGTTAGGTAAATAAAAGTTTTTGAAGAAAAATCAGTAAATAATGCTTCATATAGCTGACCTGAAGGAAGTGGAACTCTCATCACCAAGCCTTTAGTAGAAAGTACCACTTTTTCTGATGTTACTACTTTGTATGTCCCTATGTGCAATGCTTTACACAACATCAGCAGATAGTGATAAGGAGCTGCAGGAGCCACAGGTTCTTCTTGTAATTCCCCGTCTGAAAATTACACAAAAACCATATGAAGATATGTCTAAGCTGGCATCAAACTAATCACTACTTACAGAGCATACATTACCTTCCACAGAAGCAGAATATTTTCCAGCAAAACTTAGGGGCTCTTCCACAAATGCAGGATCAGTAAATTCGGCAGCAACACCATTAATTGCTGGATGCATTGCTGTTCTTGATTTCTCTATCTGTTCAACTTCATTGTCAGGTTTTGTAAGTGTTTGTTGGATATCAACAGATGACTGGCAGCAGGCTCGTTCTTCCACAGCTACACAATCAGTGTTCAATGTTGGATGGGTCTCTATGCGGGGTTTCTCCCTCTTGTTTTCATGGTCTGAAAATATTGAATGCAGAGAGATTAAGACAAAGGCAAAAATAGAGGAAAACTAACACAACAATAATAACAATCATAATTTTTAACTTAAACAACGGATCATAGCAGCCACTTCCTCAGAAATCTTCACACCTGTGTCAGTAGATGTTGAGAACTCTTTTCTCGTAATTTCAAAGCTTTCCAAGATTGCTTTTACCTTCTGGGTCTAAAAGGGGAAAAAAATAAATCAACATAGAAACCACTGAAAATTTATGAACATAATGTTGGATTCTCCACCATTTTGAAGCTGTGTAAAAAGGACTTACCATGGTTGGAGGTTGTAACTGTCCATTTAATTTGACCTCAGTAATTTTCTGGGCAGGAATAGTTTGTGCTGGCATCAAATTTTTGTCACCCTGGATGCAATGTTGACATTTGGAGAAATTCAAAGATAAATCACAATGAGGACAGCATTTAGGCTTGTCCTCCTCAGGCTGAAAGAAATAGAAATGGAACCCATTGAAGCAAGTTGCTACAACTATACTGTGATAAAAATCAATCATATTCAAAGGGAGAGATCAGACAGTTTGGTCTCTCTTCCTTAAGTTAGGATAAGGCTTACCTGAGCAACTGGTAGACTTTGCAATTTTACATCAGTAAAATTATATGTTGGAACAGTTGAATGGCTTTGCAACTTTACATCAGCAAATTTGAGCATAGGAACAGTGGAAAGTCTTTGCAACTTTACATCAGTAAATTGGTGCGAAGGATCAGTAAATTTTTGGGTGAGAACAGTTGACTGACTTACTTTCAGTAAAGTAAGTTTGGGCAATATAGGAACTGTTGGCTTTACTAAACGTTTTGGACTTTTAAATCCAGGGACTGGTTTCAGACTATTCTGCAATGTGTTCTTGCATCGTTCACATTTTGAGAGACCAAAGGATAAAAAACCACAATGAGGGCACACAGCTGCGACCCTCGCAATCTGAAAGGAACAGAAATGGCACAAAGATTTACAAAACAACATGAACATGATAATAGTTCGGATACACTTTTATAGAAAGCAGCGCTCATGGTATGTACTATAAAGAAAAGAACCTCATAAATAAGGACTCTTGGCTGAATGACAATAATTACAAAATGACTTACCTTCGTAGGAAGGATGGGATTAGTTGACTGTGTGGGAGGTTTTGAATTATTTGAATTCTTTGAATCACAGATTATTTCTACATTGCCTGGCAATGTACGACTGCATTGATCACAATTCGAGATATTATAAGATAAAATCCCACAAGAGGGACACAGCACACCCACATTTACAGACTGAAAGAAATAATAGAACCCAATTTCCCATAAATATGCCATTTTGAAATTGAAAGTATTGGATTTGTAATGTCCCACACAAACCATGGAAGGATAGGAAAAGCGCAGCACACAAAGTTGCACAGAAATATACATCAGTTAAAGAAGATTCTAAGGTATTATTAAAAGAGGATTTACCTTAGAGGTGATTAATACTGAGCTATTTAATTTTATGCCAGTAAAGTTCTGGGTAACAGCAGCTGACTGCACTGAAGGATTCTGCCCTGCCATTTTCACAGCCTGAAACGAATAGAAATGAAAACACAAACTTAAACAATGTTCCATTTTGAGTATTGAAATTCATTCTCATACAAGAAGTGTGTGGCATGTTCATGACAATAGGATGACTTACCGAGGTACGGAATTTTGTGTTTTGAGTTGGAGCAGTTGACTGCTTTGAAGGTTCTGCGTGTCGGAAGTCACAGACTACTAGTTTGGGCAGGCTTCCTGGAAGTGTAAGATTGCATAGTCCGCATTTTGACGGATCATAAGATATAGTTTTACAATGAGGACATGCAACTCCCAACTTTACAGACTGAAAGGAAGTGAAGTTTGGCATTAGACAATTGCACAGATTCATGGGAACACTTAAAAAAGGCACAGCTTTTGAGAATTTCAAGAAGATTGAGGGGTTTATTCTTACCTTAGGTGGGACCAATAACTGGCTATTATTGCCCAGGCCAGTAAAGTCCTGAGTGGGAGCGGCTAACTGCACTGTGGGTTTAGAATATTTCAAATCACTTCCGATTTCAACATTGTATGTGGGAAATATGTAATTGCATTGTTCACATTTTGAAATGTTGTAAGATGTAATCCTGCAATGAGGACACTCGAAGCTTGGAGCTACCTTTTTAGGCTGAAAGAAATAGAAACGACATCCGTGATACCAAAACTTTACTGAAATGCAGTGATTCATGCTTAGAGGAACTTGAGAATTCTTACATCAGGAATCTGGACCGACATTTTACACTCGGCTCGCCTAATAGTTGTCGATCTGGAAAATAATAAATTACAGCATTTCGAAAATACTTGCAACTTCGAACTACTTTTGCCAGCTAACCACAACAAACACAACCACGGACCTGCTCTGCTCAAATCAACAACCAGGTTTGCGATTTTTGGATTAACCCAAACAATCCTTCCTGGGGGAAGGTATCGGGAAAGAATCGCCTTCAGCTGACCACTTAGATGCCCTCTCACTGTTCGACCGTTCGACCGAACGTTCAATTCTAAGTTCAGGAGACGGGCCGACGAGCCGACGAGCCACTGTTGTTGTTTGCCGGATGACGTCCGATTGTTGCGCAGTTGCGTGTGTTTTGATCGTTCATCAGTTGGCGCACCTGTCGAAAATCTAAGTTGGCAGCAGTGGCAGGGAGGGAATGCCAACCCCATGTTTAACGGGTTGCAGTTTCGGGTATTCGTGGGGTGAATTAGAAAAGGACCACACGACACTCGCTCAAGGAAAATCGAGGTATATTCTTTAACGGTGCACTCCGCAGTGCCCCGGAGCACCGCGCTCCAGCCCTTCGACTCTGACAGTCGTGGCGTCGTCCAGACCAACCGATGCCCATCGAACTTAGCCTAAATTTTAAAACTAGCAGCGCTGGCGGTGTTCGTTCCGCCAACACACAATATAATCCCTAATCGTCGCGTGGGTAAAACATTGTAGAGTGGCGCGTTACCGTACTTACTTGACAGGTTCAGCGGTTAAACGGATTGTAGGGTGTAGGTTCAGTCACAGCCGATGTGCCGGCATGGTGCCGGCAAGGACCCCCCCCTCTTTTTTCCAACCTCGCTACGGCCAATGCCGGCGGGCGAGCGGCAACAGGTGACCCGTACCTTAAATATTCAGAGCGGAGGGGCGCGGCCGCAAGGCGATAACGCACGAGTTAATTAATTTATTAATGGGAGCTCGAGACGGAGACACGGAGACGGCCCCCGGGAGCGCGGCTGTCACCGGCCCGGGGGGCTGCGAGGGGGGGGGGGGGCAGTGGCACTGTCGAGGCGCTCAGGGACGCACGGTGGGCCAGAAGACCGGTGCAGGCGACCTCAATCCTACACGCGTTTTGAGCTCGAGTCGCTAAATGGGACCCGAACCGAACGTGTGACGCCACCAATGGATTGCTCTCCGAACGAGGAATCCATTGGTGGGGCCACACGTTTGATTCGAGTCCTGTTTAGCGACTCTGGAGCTCAAAACGCGTCCAGAGTTTTAGCCGCCTCCACTGCAGTGTAGCGCCTGCGAG